CATCACTTTGTAGTACCTCTGCATCCTTACGGCTCTTTAACTTGTTCTTGCTGTTTGAGGCCTTTTCGCAGTCCCTACCAGAACGGTGTACATTCTCTTCACAATGTGCAACGTAGTGTACACCTCTTCCACAACTCCTACCTCGTGCCACACTAAAATCTATCCGCAAGACATTAACAACCCCATTGAGAGACATATTCATCTTCCTAAACACATCCACGCTTCTTACAAAGCATTCTCCATCACATAACCTTTTGAAAGTAATTTCGTACAGCAAATTATTGAGCATGTTTAGGCTACGTTCCTTTCCCTGCAGTATCTTTTTCTCTCTTGAAGTAAATAACGAGTGATTGTTAGCGTACCATTTACAGAATGGCTCTTTTGTGTTTGCACACGTATCATAACAGCACTGTTCCATAGCATAGAGGTTGCGGAGTGCCTCTCTTCTCTTGTGTGATGGAACTGTGTATTGCATTGGTTGATTATTTTTGTTGTGATGACGTTTGTTTGAGGATCTACTCTTCTCTAAAACATCAACGTTTTGGACTGGTGATGCACATCTGTCGTGTTCTGCTATATTCTTCTTATCTTGCACAACATCCTCTCGCTTTCCTATCCCCTCATCCTCGTTCGGACCTATTGCGCTGAACATGCCTGCAAACCCTTCATCATCAGGTAGAATGTCCTCCCTCAACAGATCAACACCATCTCTACACTCCCAGAAATATTCGTTCATCCAAACTTTCAATCTCCTGTAGAACACGTGTCCGTCCTTATTTTGGATAAGATCGATCATTGCATGCACATACAGTCCATCACTATCGTTCAGTGTAATAGCATTTTTTATGGACTGAAAAGGATCCTTGTGCCAGTCGTACAGATAGGGTATTCGATCGGTATGCAAGTCTGGTGGTGTAATGGTTGGTCTCAACATGGGAACGAAATGCTACGGTGTTTATTTATAATTTTGAAATGTTTGACAGCTCTGATCAGGACAATCTTGGTCCGAAATAATTGAAATTAGATATTTTTAACGGATCTTGAACACGAAACAGTGCAATAGAGCGTGAACAAAAAATAATAAATTGATCACGTGTTCACGGAACAATGACATGGCACATTGTCCAATCAAAACATTGAGGAGCATCATTTTTTTCTTGTGAAAAATGTTTTTTATTGTAATGGAGTATCATTTGCGCTTCTTAGACCACAGCTTACAGGCTGTTGAATGAGTAAGAGGGTGTTAGAAGAAACAATACGGTTCATCATATGTACTGATGTATTCTAGTATTAACTCTGATCTACCAGCGTTGTTCTACAAGCTAAGAAACCTTTTTACCTCATCACCATGATTATTTTAAGAAGGTGATTTGCACAATGTTGACATGAAGGAATGTTTAATAACAAATTTATTCTATCAATCACAATAAGTAACATGTCTTGCCCATTGCAGTCATCAAAAAGCACGAATTATGACATGAGTGGTTGAATCATAGAAAAAAAGTAATGTAAATAACTTCATCGTTTGTTGACTTGATAAATATTATTTATATGATTGTATGAAGGGCACCATCGAAGTTAACGCGCTTTAGATGTAACGAACACTACAATTTCTATTTAGAGGTGGAGAATGATTCATTTTACAGAAATAGCGAAAAGCTCTCCAATTGAACAGATCAAATTTAAGAACACCATTAACATTTATTAACACCTTGATTATGATCATAAAATCACACCTGAAACTGCATTCTCCACTCTTTTAAACGCAACCAATACCTACCAATTCTATCATCTTCCTAGACTAAGCAATATGCCCGCTATTGTAACCATTTCATCATCAATTGCCTGTTCATGCGCATCCACGCGAACGCTTTGAGTGCGTATCGCACTGATTACTCCTTCCTCATCCTGTTCAAGCGATTTAGTACGTGTTCCATAGGAGAAAAGCTCATCCCACGACACGCACCCACAATCATTACGGTCATTGTGCGGTGAATTATTCTTGCGCTGGGTTACTCGGCAAGTTACAAGAGATGCACATTCATCACGCACTTTAAGGTCGTTCTGGTGGTTACTCCGTTCAACATTTCCAATGCTACTACGTCTATCACACCGTATTATGTCATAACTCGCATCATCGCATGTTACGCTGCATTCTCTGTTATCCCTGCAACTGTCATAATATTCTTTATTATTCTCACGCCTATCACCACGCATCGCACCATATCGTGCTTCCCTATATAAACTGTTGCAGTTGGCCAAACTGTTCTCCATTGCTATCCCTATGTCGAACATCCTCTCCTTGTGCTCCGAACATTCATTTAATGATATAATATTGTTTACGTGCACCATTCTGCGCCTAACACGCATCTTTTTATATTTTCAACGCTATCAGGAACTGTCATTCTTTCGTGTTGTGATCGATGGCAGCTATGCCTCGAGGTGCTGCCTGTTCAAAGAAATATTTTATGTGTAGTAGGCGCAGCTGTTTCAGGTGATGAAGAAACAGTCTCATGCAGCTTATCACCAATACATTATAATGTTCTCCTATAACGAGTGGTACAAAGGAGTTTTGATCTCTTGCACGCACCAGTTGATCTCACTTTCACGGTAAGTGTCCTTTGCACTCCCCTCATAGATCCGCTTATTCCTCTGCTCGTAGTTAAATTTCTGCTCAACTTGGTAACTAAGCAAGAAAATAATCGTGTAAAGGAATTGATGTGCTGTTTAAGCATGACAGCTTGAAAGTAGACAGTACGAAATAAACGAATGGTGCGTGTGGATGATAAAATAGGGTTGATGGCTTGACAAGAAATTACAGTTCGTAAGTTCAGCATATTTTACCGTGTTGGTATGTCTGTTAACAGAATTTCGATAGATACATGAATTCAGGTGTTTGGTAGAAATACCATGTAGAACAACTACAATATGCCATAGCGCAGTGCTCATTATTTTGCATACGTCCTGTGTACCACTTAAGAGTATTGCTTCTATACACTATCAGTGATATATACAAGTTTACGATGTTGTCATTCTCAAAAGTGTCAAATTACCCATCATTCAAGTGCCATTGAGAGGAATTTTAGAAAAGTACCAATAATACGAATATTTTTGAAAAAGTGCTTTACTCAACTCCATTCTGAATGTATATGCCGTAAAATATGCTTTATGTAGGTCTACACCAGCTATTTGCCCTGATAATCAATTTCATAATATGTGTAGGACAACTTTATGCCCCTTTAGAGTTCGCTCGTGCCTCTATCTTCGTTAATCACTGTTCACGATCTATCCTGATATAATCCAAGCCTGGTTCCTTATTCCATCAAAAATCGTTTATTCGCCCCCTCGTTTACATTTGTAAAACGCACTTTTATGGTCTGCTGTGACCGGTGGTGACCACCAGCTTTCAGTTCATGAATAAAACTATTGTGCCAGTTCGCACAACATACCTACGTACTCTCACCACAATAAAGCTATGCTGCGACTGCAGCGGTGACTTTGGCACATAAACCATGACTTACGCTATCTTCCTAGACCTAAATTATCTTGGTAAAATTATCAAACTTAGCAAGGAATACAAAGGTGATGGTAATCAATTGTCAAAAATGCCAAGTACGTATTTTAAACCACACCATTTGTGATCATCTATACGAAAATTGCCCATGTGAAAAGAATTGCAAGAAATTAAACTATTTTAATTATTCTTTGGATTTAACAAGGTAATAAATAAGATAGCTAGCTGTTGCTAAGATTAGAAGTACTGCAGCAATGATCAATCCCCACTTCCACATGGACCCAAATCCACTATTACCGCTCTTGTTCGCTTCGTTCTTGTCAGCACAGTTTTTCACCTTTCCATCGTTAATGTTAGCGTCTTTAGATTTTGAACCACTGCTTGCGCTTCTGTCGAGAGTCTTGTTTAGCTTAACCAGCACATCTTTGGCATTGTATTTCGGCAAGCCTTCAAACAGTTCATCAACTTGGTAACTTCTCAAATATGCAAACATCTTTTCCATCTTAGTGCTGTTAATGCCAGCAAAAGCCCTTTTTGGTTCAAATACCAGATCATTGCAATCCAATTCTTTTATATGATTATCTCCATACACCTGGTAGGCAAAAACAATCAGCTTCTTGAATAACTCTTGTTGGCTGGCATCAAGCGCTTCATAATCCTTTAATGTCATCCTATCTATTAGTCTCATAACACTCATTAAGAGGGACACCTGGGTCGTCATCTTCTCTGACTTTTGTTCTGCTATCAGCTCAGTTTGATTTTTCGTGGATGCACTTGATCCTTTTTTTTGTTTTGGTTTATACGTCCCGTTCAACTCATCAAAGACCTTTTCTGCATGCTTCAACGAATTACTAGAGGGTTTGGAGAGCCTTAATAATCCTGTTTTGATTCGCACTTTATCTGATCTATCATCTGCACTCGAAAGGGTAATCAATGCTTTGGCTATGCTATTCCATTGGTATTGGACACCTGGTCGTCTATAACATGGTAGATAATCACCAAGACAGTCTTCAATTGATACAAAACTCTTTTTGTACCAATATTCCAATATTTTCTTCTTCATATCATTATTGTTCCCATTTATCTGATTAACGGTGTATGTCACCTTGAGATAGTACTCGATGAGCGCATTCCAGAGGAGCGCATGGTCAGTGGTAGATGAAGAAAGCAGCAAACTGTAAGTTCCCACATTTTTTAGCACGTCTTTGGGTATTAGGGATTTCGCAAACTCATTTTGGGCCTGCATAGATACTTGATCAGGCATTTTCGGGTTTTTACCATCTTGTCTGCTGCGTTTTGTTGCTGCTGCCAACATGATATAGAAAAAGAATATTCTCGCGATCATGATGGGAGTTCAAATTTTACTTTATTTATACTATTTTATGCCCAATTTGCCATTTAAAGGATAATTATCAGAATTGATTCTCAATGTACATATTTGTAAATAATTATAATTCATTTATTTATCTACTACTCCTATAATTTACTAGTCAGTCATTCTGCATCCAACCCGTTGTTTGTTTCCTTCAAAAGCGCTCCATCACTGAGCGTTCCTAATTTACCTTTTTAACCTAAAATGTAATAAATGTCTGATTAGCCACATTAACTCCTCCCATTCGCACAAAATTATTCTGCTCGTGCCATAAACACGTGTTATTTAATATACAAAAGCTTACCTATACCCAAATACGACCGCCTATTAATCATTTGGCCAAAAATTTTTATGAATTCTTCCAATATTTCAACAATTGATGTTTCCACGATTTCTTCCGTTGCATAAAAGCGATATCAGTCGAATTAATTACTCACATCTCTTTAAATCGTAGTATTTTCGCTTGATTTTTGCAAAAATTTTTTCTTTTGGTCTGCATTTTTCCACCAAAATATTTTTTCTGATATACCATTTGTGGCAAATTAAGCAGCACGATTAAAAATAAGATAAAGACAAAAAACTGCTCTGTCCAAGCTGAATTTAAACACGAACATAGCAAAATATTGCAGCACTAATCGGTGCAATGATCGATACTAGTGGGAAGATGACTGAGATAGCTTCCAAACCCTCAGAGCATGCACCACGAGACTCATAGAACGGTAGAATCTATGATATTGTATAAATACACATTCAAGAACAGATATAAAGGGTAAATGCCTTTTTATACATCTGTATGTTCCGCACTGATCATATCAAATATTGATATGCTGTTTATCCGACTTATTTTTTTGAGTTCATCCCGAATTAGCACAAATACATGATAAAAATTACTTCTACACGAACAACGTTGCAAGAAATTGTTATTAAATTGATTGAATGTTGTTTTGTGAACTTTTCTAGCACATATTGATTTGTGAGCTATGTGTTCCAATTATGTGGTTAATTAATGACTCAAACATATATTAAGATGTACATCAGCTTTTATATAAATGGTAATATCGGAGACAATACCTGCGATGTTTTATGATTCAAATTACCAACTGTTCTACCACTTCGTTCATGGCACTGCACGGACAGTTACTCAATTTATTACTACTTGCTTTTTATATCATGTTCACCAACATGTTTTAGAAGACGAAACCGTGAATTTGACTGATCGTGATAGTGCAGTTGCTAAACGGAATAAGAAGGTATAAATTGATAGTAATCACGCGAATAAAATAGGTATAATATGAAAATTACGGCTTGCTATTTTTATTCTCATGTAAAAATAATATTGTTTAGCATTCACAATAAATAGCAATCACCTGTGTTCAGTTGGATAAAATGTGCTGCATTGAATATTAGCGCGTATGCAATGCCGTTTTCTCCTAATAACTCAGATAATCAGCAAGTCTATTAGCACATTGCTAATAAACAGGTCGTGCAAAATTCATTAGGGGGATTCGTTACGTTTAACGGCTTTTTTGCATGCTTGGTTGGCAAACAGACCCGTTATTAAAACAGTTACAACCTGTGCTGTATGTTTAAATTCTTTGAGCAATGGTTACATTGAAACTCTACATTACCTTACGGTTTCTCTGCGTAGAGAGAGCGTAATTACGCTGAGTATATCGCACTCGATACTGTACATGCTATATTTACGGAATAACCTGCTGAACTTTATGGAACAAATTTTGCAACTCGGTGTGTAAAGCATATGTCAGCAATAGACTCGTGCCGATACCGAATGAGATGCGTTTTCAAATGGATTTCAGTGCAGTATTATGCCACTTTATATGTTACAAGAAGCTACAAACTTTCTTACCGTATTATTAATTCGTTTTTGATGCCATATCGTGGCAGCTTCTTCATCCATTTATTATCAGGATAGGACTGGCAATTCCGGTGTCCTAAATATTGCTATATTACCCCCATTGCCAGTTTTCCACAAGAAGAAAATTTATCACGCCCAGATTGTGTTATTCAATTTAATCGGCATTCTTACACCCCCTCATGCCATCACCCGATCAAGTCCAAAAGCTGATGTCAGCGTGCAACATCTCCAAACAAGAGGCAGAACGGCTCCTCAAACTATCCAACAACGATGTAGATCTGGCAATCACGATTCACAACCAGGCAAAAGACGAGATGTACGTCGGGTCAGGGCTGGCAGTGAACAAGCCCAATAGAAAGCACACCATAAAGATGTACAAGAACGGTGTATCGGTGGACAACCATTTCATGGAGATGAATGCTGAAGGAATCAAGCGGTTGCGCACGATGATAGAGCGTGGAGAGTTTGATGCCAAGATGGTTGGCGGAAGGGAAAACGAGATGGCTGAATTTGAGGTTGAGAATTATGATGTTGAGTATGGAAAGGTTGACAAAGCGGAAAGCAAGATTGATTATAGCAAAATACCCAGTATTGGTCGACGAGTGATACCCAAGATTATAGTAATGGATAAGTCGGACCAGAGCGTGTCCGTAAATATTCGTTTTGTTGGGCTTGTGAGGGAAATTCGTGTGTCAAAAAATTGTAAAGTTAAGGATCTGCTTGAGTTCTTGTTTAAATACACCAAAACCAATTTGGCATTGCTGTCCAATGGTAAGAAAATTGGGAAGAACGATCTTGTAACCAAGCATGGCGGAAGCGATCTAAAAATTGAAAATGATTAAAACGGATTTATTGCAAATTAGCATCTCACGCCACCGTATAACCATAATGTGCGTAGGCATGGCTGTAATTTATATAGATCGTTCCTCTACAGTTCGTAACAATTTTTTTCATCCGCACTTACCTTCGCACCAATTCTGTTCATCGTTCCAAAACGGTCATTACAATTTCGCACCCACTCGCGTGTTTACTTTTCCATAAATTTTATTTCTATTTATCGTCTCCATCATAACCATGCTTTGCTTTCATCTTCATCGTCTTACCGTCCAATCCCCTACTTCCTGTTCATTTAATCTCTCGGTCAGTATTTATACGAGATCACACGGTACACAGCATAGCTGCACCAATATAGGTTGTTCTATACGTGCTCAAAGCAGGAAGAAATGTTATTAGTTAGAAACGTGATAAGCTGTGCTGTGATTGTGGCTGTAACCATCATTTTGACTCAAGCAGTCGAATTTAAGGTAGTGAGTGGCAGAATGGTTGATCACTTACAGCAAAATACTATTGCAACCACGGATGATACGGCTTGTACAAAAATAGCAGCCACTTTTTAAATTTTTTGCTAAAAATGCAAAGTACGACCATTTTTGCCCAAAAGTAAAATTTAGTCATAGAGATGTGTCATTGATGGACAATCGGAAAGTAGAACAAAATTTTCATTTGTTACAGATGAACAAAAAGGTTGTAATGACTTAAAATAAAACATTTTTATCTTTTAATCCTACATTATGTTCCATTTCGGGGTGCTGGTGCCGTAGGTCTTTTATACATTTCATCCATTTCATTTATAATTCCTTGTTTTGTTCCATTTCGCGGTGCTGGTGCCGTAGGTCGTTTGAAATTGCCATCCATTTCATTTATAATTCCTTGTTTTGTTCCATTTCGCGGTGCTGGTGCCGTAGGTCGTTTGAAATTGCCATCCATTTCATTTATAATTCCTTGTTTTGTTCCATTTCGCGGTGCTGGTGCCGTAGGTCGCTTGAAATTGCCATCCATTATGTATCTAACCGACTTGCTTATTCGCATTCTACCATTTGAGCACGCTTTCTTCTCAACTTTTGGTAGCAGTTGCGCGTTTAAATTAGGTGCTGGTGGTTCTTGTAGCTGCTTATCCGTCTTTTTAAACATTTTTCTGCACCTTTGTTCCATTGTTAAGGATTGAACTGTCTCATCAGTCCGCTTATGTCCCATCACCCTATCTTTACCACTTTGTACATCGTCATACTCTTCATCAGTGGTATTCATCTTTGTTCCGCTGGTACTCTCATCATTTGTCACTTGTTCATCAGTATTTGCAGGATCAACGCAGGTGCTATTTCCTGTACAGGTATTATTCCTTGTCTTTTCATCTGTTGCACACTGTTCACGGTTATTTTGGTTGTACCTCGTGATATTCGGTGCAGTCCCTTGTAAATCGTGATCACACCTGTCTGATACATGTACATACATAAAATACAGCACCATTATTTGCAACATCATCTGACGGGTGCATTTGATATAACATTTTTTAAGGCCATAATATGTATTGGATCGCCTAATCAGTAAATTATATAAAATCATCCATTGCCGGGTAATAATTTAAATTCGTTCAAACAAAATACAACAATTGATCTGTTCAAAATTGATGTAAAGCGTTTTTATACCTTCACCATATCAGATTTTTTCCGTCCAATATTGGCATAATTTACTTCTTTCGGAACTTGTCAGTAATGAGAAGTAATTCTCTGCTATTACTGCGGTATTTTTGGTTCTATGATCGCGCATTTCATCTAAAACGTTGAAACGCACAAGCAGCGGGAATTTTAAGAGAGTCATGTCGTATGCCATTCTGCAATGCAAGGACTTATACATTCCTTACGAGCACAGCTACTTTCTACCCGCTATAAACGAATACGCTTTCTTTCTCTGAATACATTTTCTACCATTTTTGAGCTGATGACTCATGTCTCAGTCATTTCAGCAGATTCGTCTGCTACGAAGAATTTGAATGCAAGGTCCTTGTGAACAAAAAATTTTATGCTAACCTTCCTCGCTGCCACACGGTAAGCAGTTCTTCTCCGCTACATGATTGGGAAGATTGATTTTTTGCTCAGACTGCCAGGCTTACCGAGTATGAGTTATCTAAAAATGTTATACCACACTCAGTGTGTTCACAAATACTTTTTTGCAACTAAAACAAAATTACGTATTTTAAATGATAGAACTGAAAGTGTACGGTAGGTATGGAAAAGATTGTTTGAAGAAGATGGTTTTTAATTCCAAACCAGGTTATTCGTATTTATAGAACAAAAGCTGTTCTATTACCAGGTTGAACCTGTTCTTCATCCAGGATTCTCATATTACCTTGTCACACTTCTGCCATTTCTACGCTTGGCTACATCAAAAAACTAATTCTTCATCCAAAATGTGTTTTTTCACTTTCGTGTCGATGATTATTCCAAGAACCTTCTAAAAATGCACAATCAATGAAAATAAGAATAGTTTAATCCACACGATGAGATTAACCATTCTTATTGATTATGGCACCTGCCGTATAGAAAGAACGTCATCACCAGATCGTGACCCGCTTACACCCTGCCACACAAAATACCTCACATTACCCGCATTTCTTGTTCACCTTTACGTTCAAACAAAACAAAAATTTAATTTATCGGTGCGATCGCATCTTCACCACCATTTTATCTCACAAAGACACAAAAACAAAAAAAAATGAACGGCACACTAACAGCAACACTACTCATAATATTATCGGTTATATGCATACACAACCATGTAGAGGAGTGTTTAGAGCTTATGAACGTTATGGTGGAGCGTTACCGAGGATCTGAGGGTGTGTATGAGAGCAGGCAGGTGTATGGTGATCGTGTGCGTGTGACCGAATGGCTGTAAGACGTGATGACCAAAAATGTGCGAAATGATGAAGTAAACGTGCGGTTATGAGGTGTGATGTGGTGTACACCGTGTGTGATCTGCTTGCTTGTTCTTCTTTCTGCCCGTCAATATTGCAGTACTAAAATCGTTCATTTATCGATGCTGTTCAGCGTCTTTCTGCCCGTTAATATTGCAGTACTAAAATCGTTCATTTATCGATGCTGTTCAGCGTCTTTCTGCCCGTTAATATTGCAGTACTAAAATCGTTCATTTATCGATGCTGTTCCGCGCTTCACTTCCTACTGGTACAAAAGCATTTTTATCAACTCAGGGATGCTTAAAGCATCTCTTTGCGATACTTCCAGGTTAATGTTCGTACTAGTGCTGTAAGTAAGGCAGTTACATATTCTTACCCTTCATCGCAACAGCAAATACTGTGCTCCTCGCAATCAGCAGAGCAACCGTTCCTGTCAGAGCGCCACCCTTTCATGCGAGCACCATGAAGACATCACCGTACACCGGCAATTCCAACTTCTTGGAAAGTTGTTTACTCATCACTTCGCACTGCACCACAGATCAAACTCTTATTCCGTGTATTATTTCGATTAGGTACGTTCCCTCATGTACCCTGTAAAGACGTTTACAACGTACTAATGATTGGGTAAAACATCCTAATTCTTAGTTAAATACGTATTTTGTATCATACAGAGACAGACCGGTGCCTACCAATTACAAATGAAAATTGCATGAAAGGTTTAATTAATACCTTTTTAACCAAAATATTTTACCCCAACAAACGATTGAAATGTTACAATTACCACCCTTTCGTGCCAACATTAAGTAAATTGCCCTTCTAAAATAATACGGTATGAGAAAGGAGCATTTAATTAGGAGAATATAGCACCTGCTACCAAACACTACACGTTGCTCTACAAATTGTGATGCATTATTGCAGTGATATGCTCTATCAACAGAATGTACGTTGGTACCGTGCAACATTATTTCCATATAATCTACACCAGTACTATTCTTTATAATTTATATTTTTATAAATCGAATAACTACACGCTAACACGTCCATTAACTCTTCTATCTCCCACATCCCGCTTATATCATCGACACCATCAGAATGAACGGTAAATACGCAACCGGTCTCCTCACAGCAAGCAGTCCCCTTCCTATAGCACTGCCCATTCTCGTAGTAATAACATACCTTCTGTTCAGCAACGATGGAATGCTAAATCTAAAGGACCTTGTACGTATTATCAATCGCATTCCTGTTCTTATTTGGCACGGTTTTAAATTGTTGTGATGGAGTGTTTGTTTTGGAATGGTGATTGGTTCGTTTAATGTGATGCGTTTTTTGTTGGTGGGTGATAGCGATAGGTGGTGGGGTGAAAGGGATGACTTGTTGGTACGTAGTAGTGGAAAGGAAGAGTGTGGAAATATAAAATACAGGGAATGTAAAATACAGGGAATGTAAAATACAGGGAATGTAAAATACAGGGAATGCAAAATACAGGGAATATAAAATACAGGGAATATAAAATACAGGGAATGTAAATTCATGGTACCCGTTAGCCATCAATGGTCCCATACGTTGCATTTAATATTTTTGCTCCTTTTACGTTTTTTAGCAATTCATCAGAAAGACGGTCGATCACGAACCATTGTTCAGTTATTTTTCCTTACAAAATTTTATTGGTCATATTCCCGTTACACAATATAATAGGAGCACCACCTAAAATACATTTCTATAGCAAAGAACAACATTTATAATACGTGCCGTAATGCATCTCAATCACACCCCTTTCTTTTTTTGGAGTGCACGACCAGAACACTGCTCATATTAACCACGGTACCAATAAAATGATTATCTCTCATACGAACATTTAATATGACGTACTCTCCTAGGTAGCAGGTTGAACTCGTGACAGCGGTACCAAAAACAATCCTTTACCCAGGCCTAACAGAAAGGATGTTTGCTGCATTTAACATGCCATGACAGCGGTAGCGCTGCTTATACGCTACGAAAAACAGTTTTTGTGCCGTACGGTTGTAAAAGGGATCGTTGATGAGACAACATTTGCACTGCGATGAAAGTAGTGGTACTATGACCGTGCTACTGCACTACTTCAAATCCAGTTCATCAATCATCCTATCTGCTAACTCAACGGCCCTCCCCTTAACAACACCCAAACTGCCCCTTGCATCCTTGCACCACCCCAAAAAATATACAGGTTTATCGCACACGTACCTGCTCAGATCCCTGCCCGTGTATCCCGTGCAATTAACCACAAGATCAATGTTTTTAAGTTCTTTGTTACCTTCTTTGGTTTGTAAGGTTAGGTTGTAAGACGATGCTTTCTTCCTGATGGATTGTAGCACAGTGTTGAGGAGCAGGTAGAGTGTCTGTTTTGATTGGTTGGTCTGAGTTCGGTTGAAAGCGTTTGTTTCTAATCGATTGAATTGTACTGGTGGAGTGCCGAATGTAGTGGTGCTGCTATTACCTTCCATCTCTTTATGCACCATCTCATTCTTATCATTTTCTTTTTCTGTGCCATTTTCCACTTCTAACATGCCCTTATCAGTGTTTATCCCATCTCTCCTCATTTTGTACCCCTCTATCCCATCCCTAACAATCCTTCCCTTCCTGTCATCTCCTAACACCCCTCCCTGCACACAAACATTCTTATCATGCACACATTTCCTCAGTTCATGGGCACTAAACGCACACTTTGCCAACTCAGCGCGCGATAGGATGAATATCTGTGGCACACCATGAGTGTACAGCATGCTGGCCACATCTAAGGATACATCGCCAGCACCTACTATTGCTACCCTCCTAAGCTTTGAGAATGCCTTGGCATGTGCTGCTAATTCATGCGTTTTATTTTTATTTATGCTTGTTTGTACTTTTTTATGCTCCGTATTATTTTCATTTAATGTTCTATCCCTGTTTGCAGCGTTGTTGCCCGTTGCACTTTCAGCCGCTTCAATTTTTATTATTCCACCCTCTGCTCCATTTTTCAGTTCAGCACCCCAATTCGCGACATGTCCGCTCTCTCCATTCCCTCGATCACTACTACTCTTCAACACATTCTCCAACAGCCACGCACTTCTCCTATTCACCCTTTCCAAGCCGTTTCCCTTCCTAATTACGTCCTCCCCATAAACCGTAAATTTATTCAAACCATCCCCTAACCGCCTAGCCCGTCCACCCACCGCAACAACAACACCATCGTAAAAAGTGCTCAGCCTTTCAAGCATCGACCCGTGCACCTTTATATTGCACAGCACGCTGTTCATGTGCATCCTAGGTTTTATGCTGAACAAATTGAGCGACTGTAGAGGCGATGAGCGCCTCTCGAATACGTGAACGGTTGTGGATGGTGCATGTGTGTGCAGGTGTTTTGTTAGGTAGTAGGTTGATGGGCCTGCACCTATCACGCATATTTTCATGTTGGGGTGGAATATTTTTTGATTTGGTGCGTTCGCCTTTTTTTCTAGGTGCCCTAACACTGCCCTGCACACTTTTTTACAAAATATGTTTTTAAGGCCTAAAGATCGGCATAAATGGCCCACTTTGCACGCCTTGTGCAGGAATCGTAGATATTGTCCCCTAAAGCGTATTTATCCCCTACACACCACAACACCAAACGAACACATTTACCTGGGCGCAGAGCAACCCTTGTGGCCCGAGAGTGCGCCATGTCGATAGCTATCGCTGTCCCCTGTTCAGGGCCCGTTCACAGCAGGTCCAAGGCTCAGCACTAGTTCATAGAGCCACTCAGACCTCAGCCAGCATAAAAAATACAATTTTTTGTTAAACGGTAATTTTAAAACAGCCAAAAAATAACAACACGGTAATTTACAACAGACCAGGGGCACTCAAAAACAACAATTGCCTGCGTATGGTTCTTGACCCTCCCATGGAGCGAAACAAATATCAATTCTCCTCTACAAACAGAAATAGCACAGCTATTCAAATACAAAGCATTTTATATTAAGCAAATGAACACCTGATCCACAAGAAGCACAGCCATAGACACGCATCCACCCGCTAAGTCCTTCATAGACCACACCGCTTTACTTAACTCCTTATCTTGTAGTGGATCTCGCACAAAAACTCGTTATAGCATTTGTACTCGCCAATCCTGTCCTCTACCATCATTCCCAGTATTTCGCTATCATTCCTCACGAACCTCACCAGCAGCTCACGCCCGTAGTACGTATCGATCTGCTCCTTCAGGCTTTCAATCATTTCCTTCTCCTCGCTTACAAAACTGGCAATCAGCTCCTCAAGCTCGTGTTCATCCGCTCTGTGCTCCACCATCTTGAGCAGGTAGAAGTAAACAACCTGTCCGTTCTCGATCACGTATCCCTCGCCATCGTGCAGCTGCTCGTACTGCAGCCGTGCGCACATCACGTCCTTGAGGTCGCGCTTGTCATAGAACGCGTCCAGCGAGAACATGCGCGGGTAGAAGTAGCGCAGCACATCACGCACCGGCCAGTTCGAGATTGTGCGCACGTTGAAGAGGCCCACCATCGTGTTGAACGCCCTGTTCTTGAACAGAGCGCTGACCAGCACGGGCAGGTTCTTTATGCTCTCGGGCAGTACAAGGTGGTTGTCCTGCGAGCCCTGTGTGCTCATCCTGTATGTCCTCAGGGTACGCACCACATTTCCCATCACGAACTTTCTGTTTTCCTCCATTCTGCCGATCTCCGATGCCAACACCTTCACGTAGTACGAAAATATCGTATCCATGCTCAGGTGGTTGTAAATGCTGCTGTAGTTATCGCTTGTTCTCAGCTTGATGTTCATGATCAGCGCTTTTCGCTTGAAATCGGCGATATCGCGGTAGTACAACACGCACTGCACGTACACCGGGCCATCAAGCATTCCGTCCACGTAAAATGTGTAACTTATCGTGCACCTGTCGGTCATGTGCACCACCGGGAAGGACATTGCCACCTCCTCTGCACTGTTGGCGTAGATGTTGTTCCTTCTGACGTAGTCGCTCGTTTTCACCTCGCACTTTACATCGTACATCACGGTCTCCTCCACGCATTCTCTTAAGTTCTTGGCGAGGCGGTACGTCTCATCCTTCTCGTTATCGTACACGTTGCGGTTTACTCCCGCACCCTTCCCCACATCGCTACTGCCCATCATCCCATCACCTCTCTCAGCCAAGCTGTCCCTGATGCGGCTAAGTTCTCGCGCACTCCCCCCATTGCTTCTCATCCCTGCACCATACACCAACCCTTCATCCTTCGATTCTCTGCCACCAACCAGCTCACCCTTACCCATGTAGGACCGCCCGTTTGTGCTCACCACGATTCGATTCAAAGGACTCTCAACCACTCCCCTCACCCCAAACAAGTTGAACACCACCCTGTTCTCCATAAAATCATCGATCAGTGTGGTGTAATCGCTTTCACTCATCACATTCTCGCGTGTAAACAGCAGCACCTTGGTGAACTCGACCAACCGACTAAAATGTGCTATCAGTGCAAGCGGTAACGTAAGCACGCTCTTGCCGTTCGATCGTATTGCCCGCAAACGCGCTATGAAATGCGCATCAACCTGATCTATGGGCACCATTACGCTCGTGTCCAGGAATATTTTATTGTCGAGCAGTACCTTCTCGTAATACACGCCGTTCCTGCGGTAAGGCACGCGTAACGTGTCGGAGAATACGAAGAACAGCGCATGTGTTGCCGTGGTGGGCGGCTCATCACTCGTAAATATGCTCTCGAGCGCACTCACGCACTGCTGGTAGTATGCCGTGTTGGTGCACTCCAAACAGAACAGCAGCACGCTGTGCCTTTCCCGGGTGTTAAAAAAGTGCTTGCTCGTCATTTCACCGTCATTAAGCTCATTTTCATCGGCAACCGCATCTTCCCTAGCACCCACTATCAACGTGTTCTCCAAATCCGTGACTTCGTTCTCCGTACGATTCTTAGCCCCGCAGATGTTGCAATTGAACGTACACCCCTCAACCTTGGTGTACTCACACACATACGACGTGCACTGCCCACACCTAGCCATGCTATCGCGCTCTACACACACGCTCATAATCCTGGGCTGGATCACCAGCATCAAGGGCACACCTATACGCTCAAACAGCCCCGTATTGTTCGGCACCACGTACATTGTGCTGCGTATCAACGGTTGTGAAAGCGTGTCTGTGGTGCTCAGTGGCGGCAGTTTGGATGTGCTGTGCTGATTGTTGAACAGCTCTTCGGGGAGCGATGGGCTGTTGATCGGGGATGGTTTGTTTTTGGATGCGGATGGAAATGGCGACCTTGGTACGGACATTCTGAGGGGTTGCGGAAAACGGAATAATAAAGGATGAATGAGGGGAGCGACAATTAATGGGAATAGGGTAAATGAGTTACGGGGTAGGATGGTGAAGGAAATAGAAATAGCATGGTGAAGGAAATAGAAATAGCATGGTGAAGGAAATAGAAATAGCATGGTGAAGAAAATAAAAATAGCATGGTGAAGAAAATAAAAATAGCATGGTGAAGAAAATAAAAATAGCATGGTGAAGAAAATAAAAATAGCATGGTGAAGAAAATAGAAATAGCATGGTGAAGGAAATAGAAATAGGAGTGAAGGAAATAAAAATAGCATGGTGAAGGAAATAGAAATAGCATGGTGAAGAAAATAAAAATAGCATGGTGAAGAAAATAAAAATAGCATGGTGAAGGAAATAGAAATAGGAGTGAAGGAAATAAAAATAGGAGTGAAGGAAATAAAAATAGCATGGTGAAGGAAATAGAAATAGGAGTGAAGGAAATAGAAATAGCATGGTGAAGAAAATAAAAATAGCATGGTGAAGAAAATAAAAATAGCATGGTGAAGGAAATAGAAATAGCATGGTGAAGGAAATAGAAATAGGAGTGAAGGAAATAAAACAGCCCAACGAAAAGAATAAAAAGTACGCGATGAATAAAAGAATCGGCCAAGGGATGAAATAAGGAATTGATAAAAGTACGGAAAAGGACCGAGAATAGAATTAAAGGTAATTGGCAGAGGATAGAGTTAAGTTAAGGATAAATGGCTAAAGGTGCTATAGAATGGCTGAACAAGAACTAAAAATATTTAGAAGCAGTACAAATTATTTAAATAAGAGAATTTGAAAGGGCAGTTCTTTATGAGACTGCTCATTAACAGGCATACCTATTGGGAAGGTGCAAAAATAAACTACAACGAAAAATAGAAAGGGATATGGTGGCACAACACATGGAGATGTGTTCTTGTAGCGTAAAAGTGAGAAAATGTGTTTTTATAACGAAAAAGTGAGAGAAACTCATCAAATAACACATATTTACCCTAATTTTAACATTCATTATCAAAAACAGCATTAAAGGATGGCAATTGGTCATTCCATGGTCTGTACATAACTTATGCTCAGGTATACAACGGATAGTGCAATTGTGCATTTTTGTTGAACCTTACGTACGCTCAACCCCCTAACCATTATAAATAACAAATCTGCGCAGCGCATTACCTCAAGTGCTCCGTACTGTTTATAAAAATTGCGGTGCTGGTCTTTAACAGGGAGTAGCACCAACAGAACAGCACTTTTTAATTTGGCAGGGTGGTGCAAATGCCTTGTCCGCTTCACTCCCACAATAAAATGAACTGCCAAGAGCACATCGTTCAAGGCATTTGCACCACCCTTTTACACCGCACCACTCATCACCGGCACCCCTTCATTTCAAGCACCCAATCCCTTCGGTGCTCGTAAAGGGGATTAATAAAAAAGCAACCGTTCCTTTTTAACGGCACGTCTCCACTCGGCCATGTCCAGCGATACATCCTCCTCATACTCGCTCAACGCAAGCAACATGACCGATCAAACAAGGCACCCTACCGCAAAGCGGTACAGGGAGGGTGCGAAGAACACTGCAAGTAAGATAGTGTTTGTGTGTGTCACTGTGGTGCTCGTGGGTGGAGCTGCCATATTTTTGTGTGTTGCTGTGTTTCTGGTGGTTAAGGAATGGAACAAAACAGAGGTTTAGGTGGTGATGGTGCCGGGTAGGTGTTGTGCTCTGGATTGGTCGGTCTGAATGAGTGTTTTTACCTGGTGACCGTATCGATCGGTGGCGGTGTCTTAGATAAATGGTGCATACTACGATTGATTATGAGAGGACTGCGGTCCGTTTTTGCTGCAGGGATGGTTAACTGCTCGGTTGATGGTTTTGATGAAGGGGCCATTCTTGAAGGGCAATCGTTTTCAGCATGCTTGTAACGGTGGATTGTTCCATGTAGCGCAAGGGCATCGAACACTGCGTTCTGGTAGAACGAGCTTTTGCTCAGGGCATTCTCACAAGATGCGTCTGTGCGTGAAGATCTGCTCGCACTCACACGGCTAGGCCCTTAAGTGTGGTAGCACATCGTGCCCGTACTAAATAAGCGTATTTGTAGTGAAAAGAGCCACGTGCCCGTGTTTCGATCCGCATCTACCATTTGCGCACTGCGCACCTCACCAGGCGGTTACTTCGTTTGATCTGGAGTGAGCAACCAAGCACATTCCCAAAAATTTTAGTGCCCTTCAACAATTCGTTGCTCATACCCCATGACAAAAGCGTTCACCAACTCTTGCCAAAAATTTTAGTGCCCTTCAACGATTCGTTGCTCATACCCCATGACAAAAGCGTTCACCAACTCTTGCCAAAAATTTTAGTGCCCTTCAACAATTCGTTGCTCATACCCCATGACAAAAGTGTTCACCAACTCACCGAGCCCCTCCCAAACTACCCTATCACTGATATCAGCACTCACAAAAATACTTCCTCCATCATCTACAACGATCCAAATCGCACAAGATCACGTGACACCCCGCCATCTAACGATAACGCACTCAACGAGCACGATCGTGTTCCGGATAGTTGATCACAGTATTTTGGGAGATGCTGGTGCGGTTGCAGATGAGGTTGTTACGCGCTGCGATGATATGCTTTTCTGGATGCGCAGGATATTTCCGGGCAGTGCTCGTATGCGTTGCTGTGTTAGTCTGACGAGAAAGGACGATTTCTACTTTTTGGTGTTTTATAGGTACGTGTTTAGAAACGGGAAGAGGGTGGATGTTGAGCGGGTAGGGCCTAAGCTTATTTTGCGGTTGCTGAGAGATGAAAGACATGAGGATGAGTAGGCATGGATGGATGATACGTACGTTAAATTCGTTATTACACACAGATTTGTTTTAAAACTTGTTCCTACGATGAACCGTAGCGCTTTGCTAACGGGGGGCATAGTCACGGGCACTCTTCCCAATCAGAACGTGTCTACCGGTCGAGTCAAAGACACTCTTCCCAACCAGAACGTGTCTACCGGTCGAGTCACGGGCACTCTTCCCAAATATTGCTTTACACATTTAAACGAATATTTCGGCCCTGCAAAGAAACGGTCCACGCTTCTTTTCGTGTCCTTCCTGCCACTACGCAGCAATTCCCAGCTCTAAGCCATGTATTAAATGCAACACCATCGTATGCCTCATATGTCGCGCTATCGATTTGTTGTGGGTGTGTTTACCAGAGCGTAGGACCAACAGCTATTGCTGAGTGTCAAACACCGGTAACTCTGCCACACGCTGGCAATACGATCATTTTAACTATTCAGGATCACCGATCAAATACGAGGATGCAGCCCGTAGTTAACCGTGGCAGGTTTGTACCACGTTATTGGCACGACGGGCAGCACCGCCTTGTGACCAAGGGCGGCACAGCTAATCCTACACAGCACCACAAAGTGCTCATATTTTGGTATGATTTGAAGTATAAACGGTACCTTACGTTTAACTACCGGTAAATTTGTTAAAAATGCTTTTATTCATGTTTTGATCCTTTGGTGCTTTTTCTTTTCATCCGTACGAGCTCAAGTGGTGGTAACGTGCAACAATGCTGGTGCACACCACGCCACGGTTGCATCCTTAAAAGGAACTCGTTACCTTTCCTGAAGCGTACTGCCACGTGTAACGTAGCACAACTGGACAAACACACGCTTGAGGTACGGTGTGCCGATCGAGCCTCACCCTAAATAATAACACCGTTTCCTGAAAGCTTCGTACTCCTCCTCAGTTTTGAAGTGCTTCTCTTCGCTTTTGTACTCCTTCATCATCTTAAAGTACTTAAACGTGTACTCATCACCTGCTCGCTCACCGTTAATGATACGCAAAACCTTCTCCATCAGGTCTTCCCGCTCAGCATTCACAAATACGTAGTTCTTCCGTTTGAAGAAGGTCTCTTGTCTTCTGACGTAGTTTCTTGTGTTCTTTTTGAAGGTGTTAAGGAATGCTTTGAAGGCACCGTACGAGTAATCACCAGCCATGAGGAAGTTGTAGCTCTCCTTGTAGCCTATGGGCAGCAGCTGAGTGCTTGTACTGCTGCACTTGTCTTGTTTCGCCGCATCAATGCTCATATTGATGAGATGCTCACTCCCTCTACGAGCAATCTCTTCGTTTGCTACCGTTGTGCTATCAATTCGGCTCTTTTCGCCATTCCCAGCAAAATTTCTGTTCCCAACGCTCCCCTTCAACACTTCGTTATTGCCATTTCTACAGCCGTCTTCCACGTCTTGAAATGACCCGCCCACACCTCGTTTGCTATGTCCAGCGCTAACGATGCCCTCTTCCAACTCGTCAGCACTGATCAAACGCTTCTCGCGATCAGTAGCGGTGCGGTCACCGTTAAAATTACCACCAACACACACCAGCAGCGTTTCCTCCAACAGTCCGTTCAGCACCATCTCCTCGCACCTCCTGTCCAGCTCTCTGTAAAGCACCTCCCTATTTTTAAACAAAAACACCTTCACCACACTCTCGTAACAACGTGACAGCCTTTCCATGTACAATCCACAACCACCCACAACAAGCACACGCACCGGCAGGCGAGCACGCTCTTCCATCTCGTTAATGACTGCCAGGCTGTCGTTCACGTATTTCTGTACATCGTACTTCTCGCCATAGCCCTTCACATCGATCATCAGGTGATTGTCGCGCTCTTTGTTGCTGCCGATGTTGAGCTCGCTAAATATTTGTACGGAGTCACAGCTCAGTATTTTTGTGTTCAGCTGGTGCGCTATTTTCAGCGCTAGCGCTGTCTTTCCGGTGCCGGTTGCACCTGCTATGCATATCATTTGGTGCATGGGGTAGGTCAAATAGGGAGGGATGTGGTTTGGGAGAAGGTGCAGGGGTAAAGTACAACGTGCGGATGACTGCAGGTTTAAGAAATGAAGTGAAGTGTGGTGAAGTGGTGAACACAGGACGGTAAAACAAACACTTGTTCAGGCGGTATTGAAGATGATCAAATGCCTTGCAAACAAAGAAATGTTAAATCGATAAAAAACGGTACGGTTTGTTTGAACAAGACCATCATTTATTCACCACATAAAAATTATTTTGAACCATGCTCTGTGAGGAATACGGAAAGACTCCTTACGTAGATGCGATAGCGATACGAGGTGTGCTGGCATATTTGCTGGTAGATTGTTTAAGATGTGGAAGTGTTGCTGTTCTTCCCTTAAAATATCTTGTTCTAGGATACGACCCGTTAGGACGTATTTTGATTGCAAGGTATGGTAAGTGCTGTGCACATCCCTAGGCCAGCGCAACGTATTTCTGCTCACGGTTCGCTTAACATGCTCAGCACGTGTTTGCATCTAAAACTGCTCAGCATGTTTTAACCGTTCACCTCAGAACCCCTTGTTTTCATGGACGTGCACGTCGGCAAAGTCATAAAAATACTGATAGGCTGCCACACAAAGAATACGTGTGCCGTCAAACGGAACATCCTTGCGCTTCTCAGAATAAACCGTAACGAGTTCGCACAGATCATCCGAGCAGCCAAAGACAAGCTGAAAGAATACGAATTGCGACTTATCGGTGTGACCAAGGGTGACATTGTGCCCGTCACACAGGCAGAAAAGTTCTTTCTGACGAAGTACTACAACATCAACGAGGTGAAAAGACGACGTGTTAGTGACACGGATGAAAATAGGAGCAACGGTGGTGCTGTAAAGAGTGGTGGTGCTCTGCCGAGGGAGTACCACGCGGTGTTCGTGATTGTTTTTTTGGAGTCGGGTGCTGTAACTTTGGATCGGCTGCTGTATTTCGTGCGTAAACTGCATTTTGATGTAAATATGGACGATGTGGTGTATCAGATGAAGAAAATGCATTATTTGATGTTTTTAAAGAAAGAGGATGTTATGATGGTGGCGTATGATTGGCGGTTTACCGCAGAATTTCCGCATTACAATCCGATGCTAGCTCTTGAAAATTTTTGTACCAACTTGGAGTGAACGGTAATAAGTTCTACAACACGTACATACGATTTGTATGGTGAGCACCGTTTCTACATCTTGTGCTGGTGAAGCTGCGCAATACTTGAGCGAGTTTTTGGCTGTTTGTGTGCAAATTCCTGCATAGGCGGTATTCGCGCTTGTAAGGCACTGCAGCACACGGTAGTACTTAACGTATCGCTGATCAATGTTGTAATTGCCGATACGGCAGCACATCAGCTACGCTACTCCTGCCTACAGGGTAGAACATGACTTGGACGGCTTATCACGGACGAAATACGAACTTTTGCCAGTGATTAATTTTACAACTCGTACCAAAAAGCAAAAATGGTTGAGCAGTGGAAGATGCTGATCCTAAAACAGAACAAATTTTTGTGTGTAACCGAGTTATATTCTATTTTATGGATGGAGATAGCACAATTGGTTCCGTAAACAGACGTACAGCTAAGATAAGAGGACAAATAAGCATGCTTTTAGTAAAAAAGCAATTCAAAGACTAATTAGACTGTTTAGGGAAGAAAAGAAAATTTTTGTTCCACATCTTACACGAAATACAGCGCTAAAATTGATACGCAGTTCATTTTTAGAGATAAACTTGTCCGTTCTTTACGGGCAATACCGAAAGGATGTGATTATCGGCCGAAAAGCAATCCACAAACCATTACCAAAACATAAAATTAAACGGAAATGGCCGGAAGACGACAAAGCTATATTTCCAAAACAAAACAAATTTTTATCAATAACCGCTTTTATTCCATTCCATAAATGAAAGTAGCATAACCGGTTAATTACCAATTTTTTTTTGCCGTCTTGCACCGTAATGCCAAATGAAGGACTTCCACCTTTTAATAAATCGAATATTCCAGTTTTAGCGAACCAGCCAATTATCATTTCAATGGTACTTTTGTCCGTATTGACTAGCTGCACTACTTTCATTTACTCTTATTACCGCTAAAAGCAAATATTTTATTCATTGCTGATATGAAAAAGAAATATTTCTAACTGTTTTTGCTGGAGATGTGCTACCCAACATAAAGGAGGTCATTTTCAAACAGCACAAAGTATTGGTGATGGTGTAGTTGATCAAGTAAAAGGTAAATTTAAATGCTGATATAGATACGTTAAAGCATATGATAAGCATTGCAGGTGAAAATAAGCAGTATCGTACGTTGTTACCACAAATACCTCTAATTGATCTATATCTTGTTGTTATTACCAATTTGCTTTACATGCTATTTCTAGTTTTGTATTTGATTAGAATTACGTTGTGATAGATCACGTCGTAAAGACGAGATGTAAATTATAATCTGAACAAAAACATTGCTCAAAAATTTGCTTTTATTCTTCTGGTGACCAATCACTGGAAGACATTCTTGAATGCGCTTTATGTACCATATTAGGACTTTTTGGTAATATTAGTAGATTAAAAAGTATCGATCAGCTGATATCCCCTATGGCAAGGATGAGAAATAATGTATTGATACTGCTATTAGTTGCGGTTGTTGCGATAGCTTTGCTGGGAATAGCAGGATATTTTATAACGAGACGTTCTAAAACAACACCATCGAAAGGTATTAAGCTTGGGAATGGTGCAATCGAAGGCGAGACAGCAGAAAAATTGGCTAAATCAGCATTTAGCGCTTTGTCAAGCCACACAAGTTATGGACCGGCTGTTAGCAACAATACACCCTCTGGCCAGAACGGAAATGTTGCATCAGTTGCAACTTCAATTTGGAGCGAAATAGATGGAACAACAACCGGAAACGCAAAAGTGGATTCGCATCTCGAAGATATTATTAGAGCGATTCAAACCGGTAATGGGCAAAGGTTAAATGAGAAACTGAAATCGCTGAGTGAGAGCGACATAGAAGAAATTATGAATGGCATACTGGATATGGTAAAAGAAAGCCCGACCGTGAAAAAAAATTTATGTTTTGGTTGGAGTAGTGCGAATGCTTCACCGTCACCATCAACAAATTTAATTTGGACCTTTGCGCTTCTACAACACAAAAGCACATTTAGCACTTTTCAGCAAAGCATCGATGCGTATCTCAGTAATGAACAAATCAATAAGAAATTAGTAGCGTATCCTATCTTTTGCATTGGCTACATTTACGGAAAAACGAGCGGAGTTGTGCTAGACGAACAAATAAAGGTGCAAGACAGAGTATATTTACTGAAAGGCGTGATTTTAATTGGTGGTGGCTCGTATTATGAATCTTCTATGGTACTGGTCAAACATGGCCGGAACTACTTGCGAGTTGATTCAGAACCGGAAAAAAATGTTAATTTTGGAGAAGAGTGTTCACGCCATCCCCTAGCTCTTACCTTCTACGAAATACATTAAAACTTCTATCTGTTATGTTCGTGTGCCACAGTTAAAATCTTCATCTATGTCCAAAAGTAAAGAAAAATTAGAACATTTAGGTTGCTTGCAGCAATTGATATTTGAAGCAACATAGCGGAAAGGAATGGTTTACTCAATATATTGACCAATAATACACGGCTAATTATCATTATATTTTGTTGATCAGGAAAATACCGAGCAACCGTGAATCCATGAACAACTTGGAATGAAAGACAAATATTAATGTGTGAGGAGATAAATAAACGTAGTCTTAGGAAAGTACAGGATCAATACAAGATGTAGATCCCTTCCAAGCAATAAGTATTGTTCATCCGTAGCTTGAACAGATAGTTATGGATCCGTTTATAATTACTTTCGGATTAACATAACGGGAAAGACAGTTTTGAAGCCGTTTAACTCTTATTAAATGAAAATATTTGTCAGTCTTACCAAGAGGTTGAAAAACCTTTGCTCCGCATTTGTGCACGAAGGAAAGTAAACATTGCTGTTCTATCTTTTATATGATTAGTGGTGTGGATAAGTGGCGTGTACATGATATTATAGCCAAATTTACTGCCATTTAGAGTTTCCTCTGCATCGCAATTACATAATGTAGCTTCATAGATTACTTAGCAGTGTTTTAGTAGGGCCATTGTCAGCATTTCACCAGCCACATTGCCATACTCTGATCAATACAGCCACAGTTTTAGATATTAAATTGCCTGTAGTACCATTAAATTAGACTATTTTGAGTAAAAATTGGCACTCCTTGCACCAAACACCGCTGCAGAACCAATCTACAGCGAAAATGATCATCAACATTTGTAGATCATTATTTATGAACCACCATAAGTATAATTTGTGCCCAGTGCTGAGAAACCCTTTAAAATAGATTCCTTCAGTTAAACCAAATTAGTAAAATGGCGCACAAATAGCAACAAATGAAGAGTTATTACGTTTACATAATAATTTACTTGTATAATACGTATTTGTATGTATGCAAAGATAAAATATTATTTTGCTCATCAAATGTGCGTTTATTCATCCTCTTAAGCTAAGGTGCTATAACCTGCAAATATCATGGTTATGAATGATTGCCACTATAAACAATCACTAATCGATAGCCCTAGAAATTTGGGTTATTATCATAGCGACATCGAACATACCAATAATATTGATCAGGGCCAAAGCAACTATAATTAGGCTCAAGCGTAATAAAGACACTATTTAAGGCTGTCTCCTACAAAATTATTACGATATAACCAACATATTACCAGTGCGATGTGCTGCTGTTAGATGTTGATGGCAAAGATGTTACTGTTTCTATTTATATCTCTGTTTATCCTTTCTGTCTCATTCCATTCGACTCCCATCAAAACAGTTTTCTACTCATTTGTACAGCATTCAGCATCTTTTCAAGTACTGTTCCGCTGTTTGTGCCACATAGCTAACATTTTTCTTTCTCCTGCACAGATGCCCTTTCATATTGTTCATCACGTATTCGCCCTTCCGCTTTTTATTGCCGTTTTTTAGCCCCTCCAATTAAAAGCAAGGAACAAAGCCGAGAAAATGACCGACAGGAAAAAATCAAAATTTAGCAAATTTCTAGACATTGAAGCACAGGAAGCTTCTTCAGACACCTCGCCATTTACTCCATCGCCGCATTCATCCCCACAGATAACCGATACATGGCAGGAATTTACGACCAAGCTGGAGCAGAAGTACAAGGACATCAAAGAATCAACCGAGAAGGAGGTGGATCTGAACGTTGACCTGGTGAGTGCTAAGCAGCAGGTCAGTCTGCTGCCAAATGTGAGCTGTCCAAAGCTGTGGCTGGTACGGGTAAAGCCCGGCAAGGAGAGACAGGTGCTGTTCAAGATAATTAGTGAGAGACACGATAACATTTTCAGCGTGGTGATAAAGGATGGGCTGCCCGGATACGTGTACCTGGAGAGTTTCTACAAGCAGAGTGTGCTTAACGCGATAGACACCTGCAAATTTGTTTCTAAGCGAGTGAATGTTGTGCCTTTGGATGAGATGGTGGAGGTGCTGACGTATCGAAAGAATGAGATTGTGCTGTTCAGCTACGTACGTGTGAAGAAGGGCCGGTATAAGGATGATATAGGAATGATTGTAGGGAAGATCAGCGATGAGATGGTGCGTGTCAAGCTTGTGCCGAGAATTGATGGAGTTAGAAAGCTGTTTGTACCGGAAGACTACGAAAACGTGATTAAAATTAACAACGGATTCATGTTCAGCAAAGAATTTTACAACGAGAAAGGGTTTTTGGAGAGGAATGTGAGGGTGTCTGATCTAAGACTGGGCGAGAATCCGAGCGTGAGCGAACTGAAAGACTTCAAGGATAAGGAGTATGAGATAGGAGAAAGCGTGATGGTGAAGAAGGGCGAGTTACGCACGCTGAAAGGTACAATAAAGACAAAAAGAGAGAACGAGCTTGTGATACAGACTGATTCGCGCACATACACGGTGAGTGAGAGAGATGTGCAGAAGAACGTAGGTCTTGGCGACGAGGTTGGCGTGAAGAACGAGGGAACAGGTGTTGTGGTGCATGTGCAGGGACAGAATGCGATTGTGGCGCTTGACAACTTTTCGAGGGAGGTGTCGGTGCCCATAGATGAACTCACGAGACCGCAGGAGACGTACAAAGTCAAGAAAAACACGGCCATACGCAGGGCAAGACGGGACCCGTTGATGAACAACAAAGTAACGGTGATCAGGGGTTGCTATAAGGGATTTGATGGTGTTGTCAAGGATGTGCACAGAGACAATGTGCTGGTACAACTTGTGAGCAATCTGAAGAGGGTGGAGGTGAAAAAGAGCGAAATTATGCTCACCGAAGATCGATGGAGAGAAGGGCCCAGCGTTTCCGACATGGGTGCCCGCACACCCGTTCCGATTGCTTTTGGCGGTAAGACACCCGATCTGAGTGGTGCTGGTGGCAAAACACCTGGTCTGGAGCTCTATGCATCGCATGGAACGCCTAGGCCGGATGGCAACATGTCATATAGAACACCTCGCGGGGCACGCACCCCGTACCGCACACCATCACGGGGCGGTCATTCACCGCCTAGGACACCAGGTATAGGCAGCCGCACTCCACATAGAGAAATGCACAAGTCACCGTACAAAACACCACGAGCACCAGAAACTGTGGAAGAAGAAGCTTCAGCACCGCAGTCGGTAAGCGCTTACAGGGGCACACAGCTCCAATACCAGAACAAACTTGTAGAGGCACTCGATATAATTGATGAGACGGTCATCACCAGCACATCGAAAATAAAATTGGGACAGTGCGAATTTGTGCGGCCCTCCAAATACGATCGAGTCATAGTCCTGCGCGGTGGTCACAGGGGGAGCAGCGGCATTCTTGTGCGAATAAGCGACAACAAGGGGACCGTGAGATGTGCGGAGAGCGGTGCCATAAGCGTTAATGTGGAGGATATCAGTAGAATGAACTAGCTGAGCGGTGAGCAAGCGATTTGGTGCCTGAATGGTTTATTGAGATGAACCCACACCGTTTTATCCTGTAGTTACAACATAACAATGACCGATAGGCACCTTCTATCCATGAAGCGTTGAGCCTGCCAAAAATGTTGAATAAATCATTAATCGAATAAATTTGGCAGTTGTTGTGATTGACACCTTTGAAATGGAGCAAACCAACATTTCTGTAAAAAATGTTTTATAAATTTAATCTGAAGGAGCCGTTTCCTCAGATTATAGTATTTTTATGACCAGCTGTGCTATTTCCGTTTATGAAATGAAATCCGTTCTTAAGTCGAAGTGATGGATGCGTTGGTCATTTTTTGTGATTTTCGCAGTTTCCTGCAGAGGAGCGCAAAAACGGCCAGTTCATGATCTACGCACAGAAAAAATCTTCGTGCAAGGTTACATCCCTGCATCAACGGTTGATGAAAGATGCTCGTGGTGTAGGCTGCTACACCGCGGTGCAATATTGGGGATGAGAGTATTTCCTGTTTTGACCAGTACCGGCCGAAAGGTGTAAATTACGGTCTTGCACGACCTGTCACATAATAAACCATCTCTTTGGTTAAATACGCACATTGCTCCACTTTAAAACAGATTTAATTACACCTTAGTCATTTTACTTCTTCTAAATGTTTGTTCTCCTCCGATGATACAGAGAAGAAATCAACCTCGTCCTCTTTGTTCGGTTCAGAATCATCTAACTCGTTTGTAAATGCTTCTCTTCCCATTTTTTGGTCAGGCAGCTCATCGCTCATCGCACCGTTCACAGCTTCTTCTAGTAGGGCGGTGTGCGTATCCTTCTCATCATCAATCTGGTCATTTCTCGTTTTTTCCTCATTTACATTCACCTGCTCGGCATTACATAGATCGATCTTCTCGTCATCCACACCATTTTTACGGATAGGCGCCCTATCCTCAGCGCTCTTCTCGCTATTTTTCACCTCATCATCCTTCCGTACGGCACCACCAGCAATCTCCTCAAGAATATCAAGCCGCTCCACACTCGGCACATTTACGGTTTCAGGCTCCTCTATCTCCTCGCCAAACGCCCTTTTCAACCAGTTGGGTGTTCTAAGCGGTTCGTATCCAAACTTCTTCACAACGAATCTCAGGTAAAAGTAAACGTGTCCCACGATGATGCCCATAACCTCATCAAAAGGCACCTTTCGCTCGCTGAAGAACGAAAAAACGGGCACCACAAACGGCAAAAAGAACGCAGGAAACAATATGCACCCCAACAACTGCACCTGTGTTGTTCTGTTCCTCCTCGTCCATATGTAAGTTATAGCCGACGAGAGCATATTGCCAAGCAACGATCGTCGAAACACATTTGCACACACAAATATCAGAGCTGAACAGAACATCAGCAGGTACGCATACTCCGATGCATTCATAAAACTCTCCTCCAGCATTTTTGAGTAACGGAAGAAGAAAACGACGTGCAGCAGAACGTCAACCGAGAAAGGCCCGAAATAGAAGAATGACGTGACCAACCGCCACAACTGCATTTTCTTAACGTAGTAGAATGAGTAGGTGAGCGATAGCGGACTTATTATGTTTATGTGCACGAGGAGTGCTAGCACTACGAGAATGAGGGACATTACTTTTGTGAGCGGAGGTGTTGTGCGCATCGTCTGCGTGAAAAGGCTGTGTATCATTTTTGATGGGGTCGGTTAATTTTTTTATTTTGTATGGCGCTTTGATTGGCGCATCGAAGCCATGGAAATGGAGAGGGATTAAATTACGGTAGGTAAGAAATGACACCGAAGATATTAACAACAGCGGATAAAAAGAAGGAAAGAAGGCAACAAACATCTTAACAGAGAAGTATGCAATAGCACGGGCTCAAAAAAAACAGGAATGTGGAGCAGCTGATGGAATACAAAGGAGCGGGCAAAGACACAATAGCTAAACAAAGTGAACTGCTGTGAGATCAATGTATGGCGACTGGAAGGCGAACTGCAAAAGAAAAGTGACCGGATAGGTACAATGAAAAAATTGACCATGAATATGGCAGAATGCGATAGGGCACAGCAAAACATGTGGCACTGTTTAAAGTCCGGAATGCACATGTACAATGTGACAAGAATGCACGCAGAATCGAGAATTAACAGAAAGACACGGCCTGAATATTAGGAAGGATAATAAAAGAAGAGAACTGTTCGTCGGATAATTGTTGAGTACTGCTACTCGGTTTGGATAACGCTAGGCTGGAATAAAACTTTTCACGATAGGCTGTTACTTTTGCTCGTCTTTTTAGTGTGGTGAATGTTTTTGTCCTATTAATCGTTTACATGCCCGTTTAAAGGCATATTCTTTAGTTTGTTGTTTGTGAGAGAGTCGTTCCGTTTCTTTCTTCTCTTCAAACATGAAATAATCGCGCACATAGAAATGTATTGCAAGTAATTTCTGTTTCCTGATGCACATTTGATTGAATACACCACAAAAAACATCGTTTAGATAGCGCCACGTGAACTATCGGGTTGAAACACGTGTGAACACACCCCTAACTATCGTTAGCTCATAAAGAGTAGCGGGCAGAAGTACATTACACTCCAATTTTGGAAGTGAATGATTAAACCAATACCGGTATATGACGTGAAACAAGCACTTTTCTCGGAAGATATCACCAGTGCAAGATTTCGTAGAAATTGAGGTGGCAAGCAAATTTAATCCCATTCTTTCACCATTTCTTGTAGAAACGGTACAAATAAAATATTCACTCTAAGAATGCGGTGCAAGGATGTCCTTGCAAATGCTTTAACATTTTTACAGCCTGCCATTTTTGCACTGCTTGTGTTCAAAACGGCATAGTAACCCTAATGAACCACAAGTACATGCCCTTGCGTATCACAACACTTCTTTTATGTAAAATAAATGATTTTACGATGAACATCGTTGTCTCCAGGTTCATATCGGGTTCTATCACAATTTAATCATTTTTGTTGATCGATACTCCTATTCAGTAGGAAGGCTAAATTTGTTTATTTATGATCAAGCGTTTTGGTAAAAGCCTATTCATTAAATACATTTATGATCACAAATGCGTTGGTACACCTAGGTGCTCGTTATTTTACCATGGTACTCCTTTGATCACTTGTTCGTTTGCAGGTATTCATAAGCACCATCATTTTTGTTTGTAAATTGTTTGTTGTGGTTCTGTTAAATTGAAATACAAAAAGCAGTCCGTGTTTCCTCACGTTAAAGCAAATATGTGCTTTAATGAACAATACGCCACATTATAAAAGGCCTGTTATTTGAGAATAGCGAGCACGTTCGGATTGAAGAACAAATCGTAAACCATCGCATCGAGTCGTTTCCCTTTTTGCATTGTCTTGCCACACCCCCTTTTTCCCGCCAAATCCGAATCAGTAATTGCTATCGTTGCAACAAGCTGAAAGCTTTTTTCATTTTTTGTTTTTATCGGCACTTGAGTATTTGTAAAGATTTGTACAAGAAAATGCATACGTGTGGATTTGTCATGAAATGACCAAATATGCTTTAATTTTCAAAAAAAACGGAAAATTTCCGTCACACAAAAATTTCACAAAAAGATCTGTTTTTACGCATCTTTACCCGTTTTATACTGCAGTTCTGTGCGATATGTATCACAGCAAAGAATGTAGAAAAAAAAGAAAGAGCCTCTAAATTTGACTACGAGGTGTGCAGAGCGATCTAAAATAACAAAGCAATCAGTAATTAAGCGCATGGTGTCCCGATCATAAACAAAAACTAAATTAAATTTTTCCTTTAAATATGAATAAAAAAAAACATACCAAGATAATCATGGAACCGTTTTGGAACTTGATAAGGAGCTACGTAATTCCTTTGAAATTGCTGTATTTTTTTATAAATGTGCAGTACTACGCGTTTTACCAGTTTAGAGGACCATTTGCAGTCACAATGTTCAACGTTTCAAAAGAGCACTACGGCTCGTTCTTGGGAATCATACTAGCGGTGTGTTTCTTCACAAATACGGTGCTGGCCACGACGAGTGACAAGTTTGGAAGACCAAAGCTGTTTATATGCACGTTGCTGATTGTGTCAATGGTATCGTTTGAGCTGTTTTATCTGTGGCCCGCGGCAAAAGAATACGAATCCATTTTCTGGGTGGTAATGTTCCTGTACTCGTTCTTCAACACTGCCATACCACCTCTCCTGGACCGCTTCGCAATCGAGTACCTCAACAACACGCCGAATACTGGTGCTCGCGCGTACGGCAGGCAGCGCCTGTGGGGAACAGTTGGTTACCTATTAGGAAATATGGCAGTTGAGACACTGTGCCGATCTGAGCCAAAAAAATACGACTTCAACAGCCTAAAGTACTACGTTCCGCTAGTTACCATACCCGCGGTGCTGTTCTCCGCGCTGTTCATTAAATCGTATGACCGCACAGAGCGCTCGAACGCAGACATAGAGAGCAGCTGGGTATCCTTCGTGAAGAACAAGCCATACCTTTTTTTCATTTTCATAATTCTCCTCAACGGTATAACACGCGCTGGAATGACCATGTACCTATCGATCTACCAGACAGAAATACTTATGCTTGAAGGCTACACGCTCTCGGACAGGATCCCAAAATTCTTGCAGAGCATCATAAACGTAGTGAACAAAAATCCTATCAGCACTACGGCCACGTGTGGCGTGCTTTTTGAGATCATCATTCTCTACTACTCGCAAAACATTGTTGGGCGGTGTGGCCTGTACTGGCCGCTCTTATTCGCACAGGTTGCACAGTTCGTACGTTTTGCTGGGTACTACGTCCTGCCATACGACAATCCAAACACGTATATGTTCAGCTGCCTGCTGGAAACGATGAAAGGCGTGAATTTCGGCCTTACACACTCTTCGGGCGTGCATATTGCCAACATGATGTGTCCCCCTCATCTGAAGGCAACCTCACAAATGATATACACGGGAACGTTCACCGGTCTGGCATCGTTTGTAGGCGGTCAGATATTTGGCTTGGTGTTCTCCTCCAAGATTAACAACGAAGATATGTCCTCCTCAGACAAGGCCAAGATATTTAGTAACTTCTACATTGTGAACATGTTAATCACGTCCTTTGCCATTGTGCTCTTCGTGTACAAATATGGAATGCGCGACCGCGTGCTCAGCTTCGATTCACTCGCAGGAAGAGCACCACAAAAGAAGATTGAAGAGCGAAAAGTTGTAATGGATGTTGATGAGGAAGAGGGCGGCAGCAAGCCGACTAATCCCAAGTCTACAATGTAATCCTAGATGTGTCCTTTTAGATTCAATAAAATTCTCAGTAAATGTGCTTTATGATCTTAATGATCTATTCGGTCACCACCGGAGCTCAAAATCAGTGTATTGCAACATGGCCGGGCACTCAACGGTTCTTTATTGCTGCATCAACAACGGTTATTCCGGAGTGGACAGACCGTTTTACAATCGTAAGCAACAAATTTCTACTTGGTACGGTGTTTAATCAATTATATCATCGTTATAATACCGCGCTTTCCGGCAAAATAATACCGATTATGGAACTTTCCCCTAAAGGCTCTTTCTCCACCCGAAATACCGTAAATATAAGTTTGGCGAGCACCAACTCTGGCCATAATGGTTATCTCTCCACAGAGAAACAGTTTTGTAACAGCTATTCTCTGTATAACATGCTCCTATTACGCTATTACTGCCAGACCAATCCTTCTAAAGTACATTCTGAGACCACTTGCCGGTTGTTGGCATGATCGGCCGTTCTTACCGTACAATCATAGCCCGCCAAACCATCGATTTGAGTGTGCACATGTCTGAAGATGCTGTGATTGCAATTCTTTCCGTTGATTATCTCTCCGCTGAGTTCCTGAGTGCATTCCATTATTCTTTATCTATCTTCTAGGAATAGCACCTGCTCACCATATTCTATCAGCTTGTCATAGCACAAAGAAGCCGCGCGGCTGCTTCTGCCCACTCTTGCCCGTGTTCATAAACATCACAAAACATAGACCACAATGGTGCTAGCATGACAATCACTTCCCGTATTATTCACAATATATTAATTTAGCACGTTCCTGTGTTATCATTTGCTGTGACTTTGAGTGTTTTGTCACTTTGCCCAAAAATTGGAGCTATCGCTCCTGTCACTTCGACTTGGTTATCATAAGAACCGTGATGAGCATCAGGATGGACAAAAAAAATGGTGAACGGAGAAATAATGTTCCGAGTATCGGTATGCAGCCGGAGCAGCAGCACTCTCAAGGATACTTTTGTGCATTATTGGTGCAGTACACGAAAGGTGTGCAAGAGCCTAAAAGGTGTATGAAACTGTTTTTGATCATCATTCTGAGCATAGTACTTACCAAAATAGGTGTGCTAGCAGTGCACATTCTCATAATCGATCACAGGAAATTTGAAGTGTGCCGTGTTCGCTATGATGTGGTGCACAGCCCCGAAGCGGTGAGCTTCGACATAAGATCACAGTATTTATGTCCGGTGAACGTGTTATTGACGGGACTGCACGTATCATTTTCCAATAATGGAGAAAATGTGGCAGTGTTGAAAAAAGAGGAAATAATTCTGAGAAAGAACAGAAGATTAAAATTTGATGGCTCCTTGCGAATTGAAAGCGTTAACGGCAGGAGCATGTTTACCGGTGATTCTAAGCTGAATATGGAAGTAGTGATTGATGCTTGGATGCACATGAGAGTGTTTTATGTGTGGTTCAGGAAGCGTGTACGGTTTAGATATGTATTAGGAAATGGACTTAAACAGGAAGGCGTCTACGGTGCGTGCTTAGCTGGGTTACGTATAGAACCGGAATTGATGATCAATTTATACCTGGGTGGTTGTGAACTTGTGCTGCCCAGGTATATGAACATCCGAATGAACGAAATGTCCTTTGGCGCGGTAGTGTTTGATTGTCCTTGCAACCTTGTGGTTGGCAAGTTGTGCGTAACAAACGGTCGGCTGGTTGAACCGGTGATTATCACCTTCTCGTTCAGTAGCTGCACAGACCTGTGGTATTTTCTGATAAATGTGTACAAACTGATGGCAGATGGTGATCTAAAGGAGAGTAGTGGCCTACTTCATATACTAAACGTGAAGGATGAACAGTCACTTGTATGTCAGCAATTTTTTAATGATCTATTAGTGCCTTTTCACAGCATTGTAGCTGTGGTAAGACGTACTAAACGAGAATGGCCGAAATTTGGGTTGAGATTTTATGGTAAAGGCAGGTTTTATACCGTTGCTGTCAATGTGAAGGAATGTAATCCGAAAAACGGAATAGAATACTTTCATGTCCTGTATAACACCAATATCATACCTCTGAATATTGGAGTTGAGAAAGATTATGGGGATGAGAAGAGTGCTGCTGTGAGATCGGCAGCTGTGAAAATGAAGAACGGGCAGGTCATGAAGATAGACGAGAAATGTGCATTAAACGAACCGATTCATGAAAGAAATGTAAAGAATAGCAAAGGTGACAATCATGCAGGTGTTGACTCTGCTCCGAGTGCAGTGGGCAGATATGACAGTGGCCATACAAATGGTAAATCGACTGATACCAAAGGGGCAATAGGGATAGATCGTTTGTGCAAAGTGGAGGTGATAGCTTGCACCCGTGATGGCGCGCGGCTTGCAAATTACGGATCTATACACGCGGAAGCATCTAAAAAGCAGAATTGGTGCGAGAAGGAGGTCCTTGATGGAATATTCGGGACAAGTGTGTTTTTCAAAATTATTGTTGAAATTAAATCATGGAACAATTTACTGCGATATCTGATGGAGAGAAGATCTGTTCTGCTTAAGATCAGAGTTGGCACCGAGAACAACAAGCAGTTTGCCTGTCGCTATGATCTAAAAAATTGGTTATTGTCTGGTCTTGAGAACCATATAATTGAATACGTGCCTCCAATACGTATGCCACTCAAAATGGGAGCACTAACTCTCAGACATAGTGTGGAAATGCGTAAAAACATAATCTTAGTACATTCAACCAGTGTGGATGGTGGTGTGTGCTTAAAATGCTCTGATGATGGCAGCAAAACATTAAAACCTGCGGAAGAAGGACCTGTGAAATGTAACTGTGAGAACGAGTTGATATGGCCGTTCGTGCCTGGACATAGTAAGCGCTTATCGATTGAACTGTTATTTGGAATGTATGAAGCAGATTTTTCTATCAAAAGTGCATTCTTTTATGACGGCGGGCGTATCCGTGCTAGGATAGATTGCTGGACAAAATTCGGGAAGAACAACTTGATGATCGGTGGTGACACGATTAATGATCTGTTGTTCTCTGATGTTGTGATAAACAACGAAAGAATTGATAAATCTGCAGATCAGTTCAGGAAAATGTGCATTTTTTCTTGTAGTAAGGTTCTTGGACATGCCGAACTGCGTATTGCTGGTATTGAAAAGATGATTAGGCTGGTAACATGTGCAGATAAGAGTGTTTTGCAGGCAGGATTTGCGATTAGGAATATAATCAGAATGAGAAATCGTATTTATCTAAAAGCTGTGAGAAATACAAACACATGTGATGTGGCAGCAAAAATATGCATCGATTTCAACCAATCGGAAGTTACATGCAGTCAAGGAAATGTGTATTTGTACGGGCAAAATATTAGTGTTGCACCCGATTTTTCTGTGTTGTTTGCAGTAGATGGAGATTTGTCCTTTTCTTTGTGTGGAAAGTGTAACTGCCACGAATTACTTGAACCTCTGATCAGCAGGCTTACATGGACAAAAGGTAGCTGGCAGGGAGCTAGAAATATGTGTGATGGAAAAATGGATGTAGATCTATCGTTAGATATTTCTGGAAATACTTTCGACTTGGATTTGGGTCTACGTCCTGCCGGGGGCTGCGCGAAGAGGCTCCAAAGTACAGAAAATGCGAAGCAGCTTAACCATTCACTGCCAAGAGATCCCATCATATCATGGCCTGACACAAAGATAAGAACTTATTTCGTCGATAAACGCGGTGATGAACATCCAATCATGTTACTAAGTATTTCTTCATCGTATCTTTGCTGCAATCCATTCGATACGGTGAAGCAAAAGATGTTTTCGCCACAGAATCAGCACAAACCATTGAGAATAATGTTAAAGGTTTTTTCTGGCAATGGATTTCGGCCTAAAGAGGATGCCATGAACCTGCAATGTTCTTTTAATGGACAAACTCGTGCGACTAAAAGCGTAATGATGAACTGTTACTTTCGTAAGTTCTTGTATAAGTACTCACACAAGCAGTTCTTTCTGTTCCAGCTCGTTAAGTTTATCTCTATAAATGGAAGCAAGGCTGTGGAAAAAGGGGATACCTTGTTGAAACTTTCACATTGGAGAATCAACAATGGCTTTGACGCAGCTTTCGTACACGGAAGCGTGCACAATGCGGTCGGTATGTTCCTTGGTTTCATAAGCAGGCTGAATTTAGGTGCGTATCCAAGGATTGCGCGTGTAAGACTACTGGTGAATAACATCAAGGCTCTAGACGTAAAGACGAACGGGATTACGCTTTTTCGTATAGATTTATCGATAGATCATGTATTTGAACTACCAATACGTTATAATACAAGACAAATTGATCATGTGTTTACGGTTCCTGTCAGGTATGAATTGCATACTTCTGAAATGTTTAGTATTGATAAAGGGAATGTTTACACTGCTCAATCAAGTCTAGTTGACTTTTTTAGAACATTAGATTTGCCGATCAAAAAAGGCATTTTAATTCGTTTTGATCGCGAAAACAGAAATTTGACAATAAAAGTGAAACTGCACCCATGGATTACTGTGAATAGACAAAATTTACCATTTGTAGTAGTTTCTGAGTCTAAATTGCGGATGAAGTTGTACGTGTGTACGAAAGCAGGACAATCGACTCTTATATTTTCTGCTCGTAGAACAGACGTATAGGAGCAGGATGATAATCGAAAGCATTTGCCATGTATTCAATTCTGCTAAGACATTGGACAACATTCTAATCCTGATCATCTGAGTAAAAATATTTCAAAGAACTATGTAGCACTATTTTTAGCGCATATTCACGCTGTTTCACAAGGGGACTTCTTCTCTCACGGATGATTCTAAACGTGGAAACTTGCACTAGCTGAGTGGCTGAACAGCAAGAGTTGTGCAGTAATAATCTGCATGTTATGGTAGAACAGTAAGTGTTTTATAGCAAAGTGCAGCAGAAGATAAAGTTAAACCTGAAATTACGTTTTGCTGTTCAACTGTAGATAAAAACACTAAACATGACAATAATGACGCTTTTACGCATCAATGATGGTATTATGGACGTAAAATGGGACATTTGACGAATATCCTGGTTGTATCGTGCATTTACCTTCGTATTTTTTGGCAGCATGTCAGCATGCCGAATAATTATCGAATCAGAATTGCTTCAAGCGTGGTGCGCTGTTGTTCATTCGTTTACATGTTGTGATAGAGAGATGGTCTAATCGCTGGTTAAAGAGGTAGCTTATTTAATGGTAGCACGAAAATGTTATTTTCTACAATAGATGCCAGAATGAGGTAAAATCATGGTGATAATTGATTTACGCAATGGAGCATAACCAAAGTAATATGTAACCTATTGTTTATGGTATCACTCGCTTGATCTCAGTGATATCCAGAAGCTGTGCTGGCAGTTTTTCGATCGTTTGATCTTCAAGGCAGGAGATAGAAGAAGTTACAACGTTCTATTCTAATTTTGATTGACAGAACAGAAAATTTGTGTCCAACGTTTGTGTGTGCAGTTACAAACAAACCGTACTTCGTACTTATACGTCTCTACTACGCAAACAAATGCTGTCCCAAAGAACTATTGGTATTGCGATTTTCTTATCGAATATAATCGTACTGACGGCCTTGATCTCATTCTTCATTGTTCATTACATGATTGTACAGCACGAAAATTTGAAGTTTTGGAGTGATATGCGAGCAACAAATTACACCAAAATACGAAATATGTTCGGAATAAGTAATGCAAACAACGAATTGCAAGTTCTTCTGGTAAAACAGTACCACTGCTACAACAACCAAACGTATAGAAGCCTACTTATTAGAACGCAACACAGTGATATGTGCGGTGATCTAGACGTTATAAATAGACCTTCTGTTTACTTAAGTATCTTTGAGGACGATGATCGCAAAAATACCTTGGTTTACAACCAGCCGATACCACTACGGACCAAGTACTTCAGCAAAATGGAGTCAATCTATCTTTGGAAGATATGGCCATTTTTAGATGTGGCTAGAGTGTATATGATCTATAACAAAGTGTATGAAATACTTGGGAGCGAAGAGCGGGTAAATTACAGTTTACTGTACATCAGTACCGAAAATAAAAGTGTTCGGCTCCACCACTTCAAGAATGATCACAGGAGCCTGCAGAAAGAAACAGTGAAGTTCGAGCTTGATGCGTACAAAATTGTTCTGTGGATTTTGAGTAACTATAGATGGTATTTTTAATGCAAATTGTGGTATACTGGTCGGTTAATGCATGTAGCTGAAGATGTGGCTCGTTGCAACACGTAGATCGAATTATTTAAACACAGTTCAGCATTTATATCCGTATAAAACGTGGGATCTCGGAATCAGCAATTTCTATTTTATCACCACAGGGTGCCTGAGAATATTTAGCTATGGTGTTAAGCGTAATAAATCAGTTAACGCAGTTAGCTTCATCAAAATTATTACCAACAGATGTACAGAAAAACAAACTTGTTCCTACAATTCATGCTATATCGTTGTTCTATCAAGTCATCTATTCCAGGCAATTTCACCTTACGTATGATCCAGGGGCAACATATAATTTACATTCCATTCTGTCTAAAGGTTAAATATCTCAAACGTTATTTATATGAACGTAAAACATGTATTAAAATGTACATTGTGTTATGAATTGGAAACACTAATGAAGAAAATAAACGTCCACAGTTCTCGTTGGTTTATTTAACCTGCTCCTTGTTCTCATCCTTGGCGTGTTTCAAAGAAATGACAATTTCAGGCATTCCAGCATTCATACCATTTTGATTTGCTTGAGGGTTTCCTCCTTCTAAACCAATATCATCGCCACAACAGCTATTCCATAGGACACCTGAGCCTTTGCCTTCTTCGCTACCACCTCCTTGATCACCAGATTTTTTATCATCCTTAGGCTTTTTATCATCCTTGGGTTTTTCCTCATCTTTGGGTTTTTCCTCATCTTCGGGTTTTTCCTCATCTTCGGGTTTTTCCTCGTCTTTAGGCTTTTCCTCGTCTTTAGGCTTTTCCTCGTCTTTAGGCTTCTCCTCATCCTCGGGCTTTTCCTCAGGCTGTTTGTCGTCTTCAGGACCTTTGTTCCCTTGCGAACCTTTATCCTTGTTGGGGTTATCTCCGCCTTCAGATCCTTTGCTATCGGCGGGATCTTCATTCCCGGAGGGTTTACCACCACCGCTACCACCACCACTGCCACCATCTTTCGGTTTTTCCTTTTTCTTATCCTCAGGTGGTTTCTCGTCTTTTTTCTTATTACCTGATGACGAGGACCCGCTCGGATTTGATCCAGACCCTTTATCAGCAGCAGCAGCTAAGTGTGATTCCCATGGTTCATAGGCCAATTCTTTAGGCATATTAGCATGTATAAAAGCAAGTAAGATAAAATAAGGAAGGAAATTCATGTTTAAATACACGATTTGTCTTATATAATTTTTGGATTTTGAAATAAACTAATAAGTTAAGAGAAATCACATGATATCAGGTTTGATTTGCCATCTTTAATACTTCCTGTGAGACATGAATGAAATGCACCAGAACTATTACAAAGATGTTTCAGTTCGGTGGACCAATCGAGATGTACAATTTGTAACGTTTATGTTCAACCAGATTGCTCTACCTTATCATCGGCGGTTCGTGTTTCTGTGATTGCCAACTTACCACGTAAATCATTGCCTCTGGTACTTCTGTGGAACGGTCTTTTACATCGCCGTTCTGATCAGTACTCACCAGTGCTTTCCTTACGCTAGGTCAACATGTAGGGAAGTGTCAAAGACTCGGATACATAATTTGAAGGATGATACAATTACAACCATTTAGTTGCTCAAGTTCTGATTTTACGTTTGATGTCAAAAATGACGCTTGTAGAATCGATGGATGTCAAAAAACTTTCGTATCGGAAAAGACTCTGCAAGATGATAAAGCTTTTTAAGTATGCTAGGTGTTATTTTGATGCGTACGTACGAACTTTGTACCAAATTTTAGGTATTTGATCCTATTACATGAATCCTTGAATCACAACTTTGTATTATACTTCAACATCTTAACATGAATGGATTGTGATTGGAGTAACGATCGTACACTTGATCAGTTTTGTTATGGGATCAAAACTGTATCATAGTCTGGTAGACGGATCAACTCGTGTTGAGAACGTTTTGGCAATAAACAGCGGCATATACCACAAGCACATGGATAGGTATCGTATAATCGATCAATGATACGATTAAAAACAGCACCTGGAGGCGTAATGGGAGAGAATCCTGATCAACTTTTTTCACCACAAACAAATACCATTTAATCCTCATCACCTCTACGCATAGAACATTGATCAGCGTATTGGCAAAAAAAATAACAAAGACATGCATGTCTTTATAAGACCAAATACCGTAGACAAGGAAAAAATGATGAAACTCCAAGCAGTAAATTCTATACCTAGCTCGATTTGGCATAAGTGCAATTTTTATAGGCCAAATTACGAACTTAAAATACTCATTGAGACATTAGCGGTTCATTTCGTTGCTTGTCCTCTTTTCTCAAGCTCTGCTAAGTATTCAAGGAACATTTCACTACTCCTCAATATGAACACTTGTTCAAAAGCTGCTACAAACCTTTTTTAACATCTATGTTTATTGCACAGTCATCTTCTAAATTTAAGTTATCGGTACCGTATTTGAACTCACTTCACGCATGTGTCATATTTGTTCGTGGAGCTAAAAAAATATCACGCTCCCGTTCATTTGTCTTCACTAAGTTTATTTCTTGTTCTTCGTCCTTTATTTGGTTTTCTAGTCTACCGAATAGCACAATCATATAATTTTTATTGTTCCAGAAGTATCACAAACGTTGCAACGTGTTACTACGATTGTTCTGTTTTACTTTTATTTTAGTGTTTGCAGGCGCTTTTTATTCGGTTGTTACCAATTTACCTTTAAACATTAATATAAATACCATTTTTCGACCGCCTATAATATACTCATTAACAATTGTTATAATACATTAACTGCAGTATAACTTACAATGTAGGTTGTATGATACAATATTTACGGTAATATGTTCTTGTATATTTTTGAAATGTGCTTTCCAGCAACTCCCTATCTATTTTTTCGACTAGGAGCAGAAGAAATATCCACAAACCCTTTACCATGTTTATACGGTCTATCTTATCCTTCTAATGATGTCAATAGCTTTGAGATTGACATTATTATAAATTTAGTATGAATATTGCTGTTTTCAGAAATTGCTTCCACAACAAGTAGAGTTTCCTTACATTTCTTCATTAGTCAAAGGATAATGGAAACGATTAAGGTTTTCAGCTGGTCAGGAGAGCAACTTATTCTTCTTGTCGGTAACATTAAGGAGGCAAAAAACTAACTCCTGTGTGTTGAGCGCACTGTAGATATATTTGCAGTTTTTTGATAAACAATCTTCCTGAAAAAAATTGCGCCTTTACGAACCATATAAGAGCCACATGATCAATATGGCATTCTTCGTGAATAATAGAGCTATATTTATTACACCAGTAAAATTTCAAACCACGAGTTCATACCATTTCATAAGAATACCTCCCTCAAGCTGACAAATTATTTTTATCTGTGAATAATAGTCTTCATACAATTACTTTCACTTATCTCTCCGTGTTGCACTCCCAAAAATAGCAGAACAAAAGAATAATTCATTCAAACACAAACCGAATTTGTCAAACACTCAATTCGAGAGTGGTTAGTTGAAGAGCATTCCTCGTATCTAGTAACCGGGCTATTTTTCCCGGCATGTGCGTAATCACTACGTGATAGCAAGTGCACAAAAAACTATTTAAAGATCAAAAAATGCTATTCCATGTACAAAGCTGCTTTTCGGAAGTTTTTCTGGTCCGTTGTGATTATGTTGCTTCTTTACGCTCTGGTTTATCTTATACGGACATATTACATAATCGTACAAATCAACCAAATAATCCTCGACAAAATGGACACTGGATTCGATAAATTTCAATCTACCTGGAACTCATCGCCAGTTAGCGAGAGAAAGTTCATAGTCGTACTCTACACAGACAAAAAAGAAAAATGTATAATATTTGGAACGATAGATAGTGCTAAATGGGCAAATCACGGCGGAATCATCTACAATAATTATCATACAACAATGAACTCACTATTAGCCTACAAAGAAGAGCTTGCAGCATTGTACAAACTAGTTCCAGTATGGATATCAAAACGATTCCACACACCATGGAACGAATATGTTAATACCTTGGATGTCATATGCTATTACCTAAAAAATTTGCCAGAAGATAATAGTGTTAAACATTGTAATTGCATTTTTGGCAACCACGGAAAAATAGTAGTGACACAAATATTAATGCGAATAGCCGAGGGAAAAAATACATGCAAAACTCTAATGGATCACACGATTGATTTTGGTAATAGAGTTGATGATCTTGCCGACAAAGCATTGTTTTATTTTTTCTTGCAGCTTTTTCAGCGGAATTTCTTGGTACGTGTAAGACCAAGTACAAATGAGTAAGCAAGATGAGAATGATGTTCTATATATTTTCAAAGGTGAGTTTTAGTTAAAGTTGCGACATGTTATTTTCCACTGATTACATCACGCTGCTCAAGTTGGGTGTTCCTCTAGTGTATTGGCACCGATTAAACTATCGATTCTTTGTCCATGGCGAAGCCGTCTGTAACCAGAAATCGCTATCAGCTAGCTTGGTATACGTAGTTTGCAAATTTTGACGAGTGCACAACAAAGAGGCTGTTCTATCGTATGTTACACGCTAAATCTCCGTGTTGAATAGAACCATAGTAAACAACATTACAGCTCTGTCTTAAATCAACACTCAAAGTTAATTAAACAAATTACATATAACATAATTAATTTATTATTTAGATTACTGCATGTTTACCAGCACTAAGGAAGTAGATTTATGACTAAATGACACGTTGCGTGTTATTATAGCACCGATAGCTTATCCAGTAAATTTATAATCTGTGAAATGCATTCGGTACATGAGCGATTTTGTGGTTCTACACAGTGTGTCTTTACGTATCACTAAGTTTATTTGGCACAGAGAATATTGGGCTTGGTATTAAATGTCCTAAAAGTTTGGCAATCGAGCATGTGATTGGGCACAAATCTCTGCAACTTTATTGCTTGTACAAGTTTCCTAAAACTTACATTGTGACCTTTTAACAATATTACGTTGTTTTGAGATCAGGAGACATACCTTTGACAGAAAAGAATGCATAGTTGCACATTTTTTCTTGTCTCTTCCTTTGTTCAACCTTCTCGTTGTTTTTATAAAAATTTTCTATCGTTGTGATCCAAAGACCGGTAGGCCATAGTAGGCGATCTGTGCATCCTGAGAGCTTGTTTGCGTGTGGTGACATAAATAAACTCTAAAAACATCTTACCGATTAAACGCGAGCTATAGAAGAAAATTGTAGAGCAATACACGTATTGCCAACAAATTTGCCGAGATATTCTTTTGTTATTATAGGTAAATTTTTTATAGGTGCACATCCATACGGGCCTTATTTAATGTTATGAGCGGGTCATTTCCAATTTCTACCTTCTCATTATGTTGTACTCAGTGGATTACAAATTGATAGAGGGAGCATCACGGAGACACAGATCAGCAGAATAAAGCACAGATTAAGCCCATTGAAGTAATAAGAGTCAAAATAACATAGGTTGGCTATTTTTCTTGTTTCGTCTTATACTATGGATAAGCAAGAAATACGAACATTTGCACATCACGAATTTCTGGGATAGACTAAATATCACTGCATTTTAATGTATCCTGCATGTCTACAGGTGTGATTTCGTTCTTACTAGACTGTGGAGGCAAAAATACATGCATATAAAAAAAATAAAAGGGTACGCCTAAAAAATAGCGGGATGGTGAAACGCACTAAAACACCTGAACCAGGCGAATACCTGTCTAAGGAATTTGATTATACCAAGCTTACAAAGGATCAACTGAGAAAAATACTGTCTGAGCAGGGTGTTACAGTCATGGAAAACAAGCTGAAAACAGAGCTTTTGCAAATGTACAAGAATACGATACACGATAAGATTGATGAAATAAAGAAAAAGATGGGAAATGTAAAGGCTGATAGCAAGGGTATTGAGGTGGTGGAGAGCGATGCTAACAATTTCTCTACAGAAAATCCGTTTCAGTCACCGAAAAAAAATGAAAAAAAGGAGGGAGATTTGGGCAGAAGAACACCAGTAAGAAACTTGAATGTGGAAAAAGAATCAGATTTTCGTACGCCAGCAAGGATACGCAACATTTATAACTCCTTTGATGTGCCAAAGGCTGCGAGTGAAAGAAAAGCGCGAAGAGTAAGTCTTGTCGGTAGTGAAACAGTAAATGAAGAGCGAGATTCGAGCCTGTTGTATCGCACAGCCAAGGAAAGTATAAAAAGACACCTTGATAGACAAGGTCTATCGCATGCTCAGGATAAAACACCCACAAAATCGCCGGTACGAGGCGTTCATAAGACACTATTCTCACCTAGTGATGTGAGACAGCCTGTAAGTGTTCGAGAAAGATCGAGAGGTCACAGTTTGAGGATATTTTCTGTGATATTTTTACCTCTCTTCGCAGTTTTTTTCTTTTATTTGAAATGTTTGGTGCCTTACTGCACCGATGGTAAGAAGTGTTGTATAAGACTGCCAAAAAACACATTTTTAGACGAAAAGGGGCAACTCAGATGCTCCAGGGGATACATGCTGCAGAAAAACCTTTTGTTCCCAAATAAAGCTGTCAGAGACATTTCGCAGAGCGACAATCCTGACGAGATCGTACGTTATCTGCGGAAAACCAGCACTGAATTTTATTACGGCCTGAGACGTAGTAAACTGATCAAGCTCAGCATTAACGAAGAACTGAAGAGGCGGATCTTAGGGTATGGGGATGTTAGAACCACTGACAATTTGATGTTCTTCTCGAAGAAACGAATATTTTCGCCATCTATTCTAATCAAATCGTTGTATAACAGACATTTTTATACCATGGTGTTTGCAGTTTTCGCTATCGTGGTGATATTCTACGTCATTAATTTTTATAAACAACTGAGGATAAAAGGCAATTACGACAAGGTTGTCGACATGTTGAGGTTGCAGAAAAAGAACAGCACACGATTTCAGGTAAATCCCTTTTTGTTCGAAGAACAGATAGTGGGGCACTCGGGTTTGCAGCCGCAAGATTTTCTGAATGTAAAAAGGCTCCTGGAAATGAACACGAACGTAACGATATTTAATATGTCGGTGAGTGGGCGAAGTGCGAAAGCGTATGAATGGTTGGGCGAGATTGGTACGTCGTAAATAAAGCTGCTTTATATCCACCAATCTGTTCATGTTCAGTGCGTGATGCCCGTATGGATCGGGCGCATTGCGCCACTTTGGTTTGTTATCAAACATTGTCTTGAGAGAATATTAAAACAAGGATGGCAAAGATAAACAAATGGACGACGATGTGACGTTCAAGATAAACAAAGAGCTGTTGGAGCTGCAGGATCAGCTGAAGACCAACATCAAGAGTGAAGTGGACAGGACGTCTAAGTTGAAGCAATTGTCGAAAAAGACTAAAGGACTGGAAAAGAGAGGTGGAATGTTTAAGAAGAAAGCGGCTGAGGTAGAACAAAAGATGTGGTGGAAGAGTGCAAAGTATTGGATCGTTATAGGTGTAATCATTTTTGTGATATTGCTGGTGATTTATAAACTTTTCTTTAAATAGGTTGTTCTTTGTTGGATCGGCGTGTATTAACCTTTGCCCTACGATGTCAGCCAAAATGTGTGATCCAGCTCGCGCAATGATCACAACTTGCAAGTATTACAGGTCGTTACTCAATGCCCTCGTTAACTATGTCACATGTTGGCAGTGAAGTACTTTAAGCATAATTGATCGTTGTGTCACGAGTGTAATTCTTGGCGGTATGTGCAGAACAGTTTTATGAGATAATACTACAGCAGAAGATGGTTTAAACGAGTTGAACTTACCTGCACACCTGAACGACGCTTCCTTTATGAAGCCGTTGGGCTAATTTCGTTGCCGTAATTTTGAACTGAAGTGGGCTTATCCATGCTTTTTACAATTTTTCAGATATTAGCGCAGCAAGGCCTCTTTCCTGGTCACAAGGTAGCTTGCACCTCTGTATCATTACCTTCGCCATGATGCCACTTCGTGAACCGAGAACCTACACGTGTGAAATGAACATATGTTTGCACATAAACACACCCGGCATTGCACAAAAATGATCTGCCTGTGCCTATTCACGAATTTGTATCGAAATCTGTCAACTGACCGTTTTTGTTTTATTATGCTGGAACACTGAGTTTGTACCAACCTTCTTTTTCTAAAAGTCGTTGATTTACCTTCTCACATATCATAGCATACATTCTCGTCTTGCGGCATCCTTCACACTTTCACGAGAGTCTTGATTCGCTCATTTAAAGTAATTAGTACGATGTGAGTAAGAAATTACGGTATAAATATGAAAATTGATCGCTCATAAATTAACCATACAAAGATTTTTAGCTATCTATCACAAACGTAAAACACTATTATGCATGTAATTTTTCTTACGCATCCATATGAATGCTCGAAGATACTACGGAGGCATATGCTTGTCGTAATGAGCAATGGCTGCTTTATTTAGGATCATTTGTTAAGTATTGTTTCCAACAGCCTTCTCCTCAGAAAAAAATGCAGTTTGACTGCAGCCGGCATCAATTTGGAAGAAAATCCATCGCATACCATTGTGCCGTAGTGATTCTTCCTATACTTTAAGATTTTTTCTACGATTCTATGGAACCTCTTGAAATCACTGCACTCGTTCTTGTAAATGTTACGCTCCTGCAAAAAGCTGATTGGTATTCTTTTGTTCAGATGTTTCTCAATCTTTTTCTTTGAAATTTTCATACGTGCAACCCGCACTTCTCGGCTGTGGATGGCCTGGCACAGTCGGCTGTGCTTGCACAATCTTCTAGGACAACTCTCTATTTTCATCGCCACTAAGTAAATCATATTGTTGCACAACATCCTCGGGTGTTGTAGCACAACGCTCTGTTTTTGTTATAACACCAGATTCATGAAACATGATATTTTGCAAGTTTCTATTGATCAGTTTATTTGTGTCGAACTTCATTGGTTTTAACAATAAAAAAAGTATTATTTGCCTTTGAAGAAACCTGCTTTAATATCAAGGGGGATTTACAAGGTTGAATATAACGTAAAACACTACCAAGGTTGAGTGATTAAGGACTGTGCAATTTGTTGAGCAGAAAACTTGCGGTTCAAATCATCTCTCATGCCTCCAAAACGCTTTGTAGCAGATATCTGTTTTGAAACTGACCGTGCCAATGATATTCGAGAGAACGAATATTGTGATTTGTATGTAATAAAGAACGGAACAATAATATATGAGCAGTCTTTTACTAAGAATAAGGAAAATGTCTTGAAAGACTTCAAAAATGGTTGTGCCTTGGAGTTTAAAAATATGAACAAATGCCATTATCACAATGTCTTCATCGATACGGAATAACCTATGTGTAATACGAGTGTTATGCGTAGTAACTGATGTGAAAATGCAATTTTGGGTAGTTGCACGTACTACGTCGCCGTGTAATTATTTTTTAAACGTAAATGAGCGCTAAGAGATAAACTGATTAGAAATTTGGCCCATAAACCGAATAATGCCGTATAAATGCACAGGAATATGACAACTCGTATGTTTCGATTTGCAATCTTTCTCTCATCGCTGCGTTCTATTTTTAGCCATTGACGATAATTTTGGCAAAATATCAATTTAATTCGCTACATGGTGGCGACTACGCGCATCTATGACATACTCGCTTCTGCCTACGTCTTAAAGATAGGAGGTTTATTTTGATTGGATATTGACCGTGCTTGGAAAGTGCAGAATGAGAGGTAAAAACAATTCTTTCTGTAAACTAGGATGATTGAATTATGTCATCGGTATTTGAACAAATCATTCGCTTGATTACTGATTAAATTTATAGAACATACTTCCACAAACAAAGCATCGTGTAAATCGTGGCATGTGTCTTACTAGCAAGGTCTTACTTCTCAGTACAAGCCAATTCATTAGACTCCTACGATGCTTGGTGCTCTCTGACGTGTGCGGTTTTGGCTCCTCTGCTTGATATCCTCTATCTGTGTACGATGTCAACAATTATGACATATAAAGGATGTCATTAGACGGCAGAAAATTGTGAGCGGACTTGTGGAGTAATGTCGACACGCCATGAAGAAAATATGTTTAAGCGGGAAGAAGTTTCACGATGATGTAGCTTTTTAGTGTTGTGGGTCAGGCATTTAGTTATTGAAGGAAGAACAGCATCGGTAATAAATAATGACGTAGTACAGAAGTGGAATAAGTGCCTCTCGAGAAGAAGTTTATTGGAATAAACAGCTATTTTATCGACCTACCCATCACAAAAAACGGTCCTAGAACGATATGTCCGTAGAAGAGTAGTGCTTTCCAAACAGCTATTGTTTTTTTCATATTCATCAGCACGAAAGGCATCGAATAGTAAAAAAATATGAGATTAAAAGTCACAATATTGAAAATATGTGCCATTGTTTCTGGTGTGTGTGCACATATGAATGTTTTCACCCGCTTCAAAGGCATAATAATCAGGCCAATGGATAAAAACAGGAAGAAAAAAGATAAATTTGTGCCGTGCCACAGTGAGGAGTACAAAAAAGTTATCATACTTGCACGAAATTTTCCATATGTCTTTGCAGGAACAAATATAGCTTCTTTTAACCATTTGTGTACATAGATATTCCAGTTATCGGTGTATCCCTTGAAATCCTGACTAGTCTCTACGTTCCAAACGTTAACGTTCCTTACATTCGGAAAACCATGTAAATTACAACAAAGTTCAGAGACTGTCCAGACAAAATAGTATTTTGCCTTGAATCCATATAATGAAACAATCAAATGCGGGATTCTTAAGAAAATTCTTTGGTTAACAATCCCCAATACGGGTGCTATTATTGGCAGCACAAGGTATGCTGCCATATAGATTAGGCACTGAATTGCTAAACACGTGTTGACGAATAGATTTATATGGCTTTGGAAATGATTTTTAACCATATTCACCAATCTGTGCCTATAATCTGAACTAGTTGTTTCATTTGCCGTTTGAGTACGATTCAAAACTTCGTTTTCTTTGCTTATCTGCTTTTTCAGTATTCTTTGTTCGTTTTTTTTAAGATTTTTGTAATCATTGAGGCTGAAAGCAGGACCGGCCAGAACACATGGAATGCTGAATAAATATTCACATATTTGGCCAAACGTATCTTTCGTCCAATTTATTTCCGAGTTTACGTAATAAAATTTGATTGAAAGTATCATTAATGGCCCGGCAATTGTTACTCCGTCTTCCAAAAATCTGTTGAATACCTGCAGAATTATCAGATTGAGAACGAGCACAGCAGCTTTTTTTCTTTCCACCTCTATTAGTAACAGAAGAATTATTAAGTTCATTAGTATATATAAGTTGAAAAATATCACAGATTTCAGACCAAATGCAACAAACAGAATGCAGTTAGCGAAAACTGAGTTGTAGTTACGCTTCTTCTTGAGTGCATAGCTAAATATAATCTGCAATATAACTGCTAAAGCATACCTCATTTGTTCGAGTTCGATGTTCATCATGCAGAAGGATATAATACGATGGTTTTTATAAAAAAATTGATCATCGAATGTTATTTGCTTCATATGGGAAGTAAATAGTTTTTCAGCTTCTGATCAAAATATTAGTTTATATTGGTTCTTATATATCTGAAATCAAATCATCTATTATAATAATGAGTACTTCCTATTTAATCACAGTTTTGTGCAAAATTTTTTCGTTAAAATGTGCTTTATACCAGCGAAAAATGACTTACTGTAAGTTTTGACATTTAATGCAATGTAATTCTATACGATGAGCTTTTATCCTAGGCTAATCTTCCTTTTAACTATTATAACCTATCAGATCCATTCAATCCAAAAAAACGATGATTTGACCACTTTTTTGAATTGAAATGCGTTAAGTTTGAATACTTTAATTGGAAAAATTTTAACAGAGAACTTTTATGTTGTAAATAGTTTTCACAATACTTTAATGATAGAATTTCTGTATGTCCTGGTTTGGAACGTACTCACCTGATAGAAGAATACGAAGCAGAAACTCTGCTCGTCTTGCAGCCAAAAATACGTCAATTTTCGATTATTACACGATTTTAGTTTAGAATAGGGCTATTATTAGAAAATTCAGAGTCAGTTGTTCAAAACACTCGAAGTAAGACAGAAAAACAACAACTCTAAATGTAAGTAAAAAATACGAAATGAAAGGTATTTAGTAAGAGAGTACTACAATGTCTTTTACATATTCTGTGCTATAATCAATAGACAGATGATAATTGAAACGTATGACGTTAAATTGGCTAAAAAACATGAATATTAGACATAATGTAATTTATGAATTAGAGTAAGAAATATTGCTCGGTTACATTTTTTATACAGAATAAAATTGTATTTTATACACTTGCTCATTTTCGCAGGCTATTCGGTGTTTGAATAGTTTCAACCTTCACGAAACAATAATTAACGTGAAGTACATTTTATTAATACCCGAATACAAGTAACCGAATGAGGTGTAACCTTCAAGACTTTGAACATAATAAATTTCACAACTTGAAATATTATGTTTTGTCTAGTGCGTGACCAACGCTTTCTTTCTATACCGAGATATTCGTATTTCTGCAGCATAAACCCAAATAATATTTACCATTCGTAAAAATTCTAACCAACAAATCGCGAAAATAGTGTTGCACAATGTCATGTTGACCCTTATGTACGGTTTAACATAATAGTCAATCATTTTTCTTTTGATTGACAGGAACGTTTTTCACATACTGTTCATTCATAAAACCATTATTTAGAATTTCTCCACAGTTTGGTCGTCAACAAGACACATACTCCATTATTTACGTACACCTACACCAGTGCTCGGGGTTTAAGTAACAGAACCAGTATTTTCTTATGTGTTTATCTACAGTTCAACCGCGGATATTACAAAAATGTACATGCTATGAGCAATTCTTCCCGGAACAAATTAGTGGTGATACTCTCGATCAAATGACCTTCATAAAGAAGACAATGATAGCTACGTTTTTCAAGTAATGGGAAAAAAAATGATTTACTTTGCATTGCAAATAAGCCGCTGTGTTTTTTGTGGTTTGTTAGCGTCAATTTTAATCAAGCATTATTCATTTTTTTGCCAATAGTCCACCGTAAAACACTTTACTGTTATAATGATTCTGTTGTTTTTTGTATGAATGTTTACAAACTGTGATTAATTTCATTTACGATCGAATGACAAAAAGTGTAATTGATCTGAACGAATAAACGTTGGTGACGTGATTTTTTCACCAAAATGGCCGTCAAACCAGAAACATCCTTGTTTCTTATAAATTTGGCTAAAAATGATACACATACCATCTAATATTCGTGAAATATCTCACCTTGGTGAGTTAGCATTCAGAACGGCTTCTTTTACCATTGATTCATCGACCAAGAACATCCTACGATCAAAAACAGATTTCGTTTACTTGCCGTACTAATCACAAAACATATACAGTACGATAGGCATTGAAAAATAGCTAGTATCAAATTATTTAATTGACCGTCACTGTGAAATATTTGACAAAGGCATTTTCTGTCGCACTATTTATAAAGATGAAGCAAACGAAAATACAACAATCTAAGAATGTCTTTGGATTCAGAACATTCCACATCAGCCTTAAAAACTGCTTTAACTCTAAATATTGCAATAACAAAGAGAAAGCTACAAAAAATGGTTGATCGACCTAACTCACCCCACAACAACTCAAACAGAGCTTATGTTCCCATTTTTTGGTAAAAACTGAGCTCTGAAATTTGTCATGGTAAAAATTTTTCGATATCAGACGACGTAACATAGTGCATAAGTAAATGAACATATCCAATGGACTAGCACCTTCTTTTCTGTAACAACTGGCATCATTGTTTGGTGATGTTCTTTGAAACTGATCTCTTTTGCCTTGTTTTAGTTTAGGTATAAATATTCACAATATTTACAAAACATTGGAAAATGGCTACAAAGCAACCGGATATCTATGATTTGGCATTTCAATCGGACGAGACAGAAGATTTGTTCGACGAATCGGAAGTCGAACAGCTCTCGCAAACAGACGTAGATCTTTACTTGGCAGAACAGCACGACAGAATGGTTATATCTAACGCGGTTTATTTGGTATACAGTCCACCTCCAGAATTAAATGATCCAGAAGCTGAAGAAAGGAGAAGAAAACGCAGACGAGAGCGTAATCGAAGATATAGACAAAGAAAAAAAAACAGAAAAAAAGCGGCAGCAAGTGTTAGTCTCCGTACAAACACATCTGATGTTATTAAGCAAGCAAATGAGTATCCAAAATAAAGTAAGATGCGAAATAACATTGAACAAATGTGAAGATGGAAAAAATAAATGATTAACAGCTTTGAATTGGCTTCAGAACCTACACTTAATAAGTATTCATCGTAAACAAATATCAATTTTACTTGTAAATTACTTTCCATTTCACACGGTCATACCATGAAATACTCATCACCAAGGGTACTATGTTATCTCTTTTACAACATATTGGTTCTTTCTAAAGAAGATATTAAATTACATTGCACTCACTTAGCCACCTCAGCATTCTCTTCCTGATGTACCAATACATCATTAGTTTGGGTATCTCTTGGTTTTAACTGTACTAAATTATGACATTGTCCCGCAAAATGCACTGTTCATAAAAGGCAACTCTCTAATGGAGCAATTTAGTCCATGAGGTAGTCTATGCTGGATACCATGGGATTACATGTCTTTACATGTTTTTATGTATTTCTGAAGCTCAGCAAACCAAACTTACGAATTAACGCTTCCCGATCATCACATGTTCGCTATAGCTCTAAACAAGACAGAGCAGCAATATGCTTTCATTAAATTGGCCTTGATCGAATCTGTGCACCATCGTATACATGATAATCACAAGGGATGACGAGCATGAGAGTTTGCAATTGGCCTTTACACAGATTGTGACTCATGTCTACTTCTCCACCAAGCCTGCATCGATTAAATGGTCTTGCTACAAGGAAGAGTTTGGACACCAGGTTACAGAAATAGAGCATGCTAATCTCGCATCTAGCCATTCGTGGCAAACACTTTTATAAGTCAAATATTTATTTTGGAGGAGATTACAGGAAAATTGTGGTACATTCACTATTCATCGTGCAGCTACGTTCCTTTATATTTGAAAAAATTCGCACTTAAACTGATTGGTAAAATTACTGTTTTTGGTATGGTAAAAAATTTTGAGTACAAGACTTACTAATAGTGCGTGCATAATAAGAACTTTGGATGAATAAGTACATTATTATAAATGCATTAAATGGTTATTTTATTGCTAGAAAGTCCACTGATGCAATTTTCATTATCTAAAAACAACTTCTTGATCTTTCATTAAAGGAAAATTGTGGACAATAGCTTACGAACATTCCATTTATTAGTAGACTTGTCATACCAGCTTGACGTTCTCGGGCTACCCGTCCTTTTTAGCATCTCAAAAAATAAGCTACTTTTATGGTATATTTTATTTCAAACCCCACCATCCTTTGCATCTCATAAAATGTTGTTGTTGTACATTTTGTTTAGCTATTTTCTGTGCAGTATTCAGAGTTTTCCCAAGAAGAAACGGTGTTGCTCTACACACAATAAACAAGTCGAAAAAAAAAGATACATTATTTCGCGAAGAATCAAATCCGTCTATGAAATCTGTGACGGACATGAAAATAAAAGATATGAAAGGTATAATGATAGATAAAACACCAATAAAAGCTAAAAATGGTCAATTGATAGCTGATATGGAAAGTTCTATACCAAGAGAGAACCTATCACCAAAAATAAGTCAGCCCAAAGATACTCGATCTCCTATACTTTCAGGTTCAAATTGCATTGTTCCTGCGAGTACGACAAAGGAGAATGATGTTAGACAGTCACACGATTGTAAGTTGAAGATTGATGGTTCATCATCACATGAACCTAAAGATGTAACTCAGACAAAAGTGTATGGTAATATTCAGAATAATGCAATGTCCACGGGTAATTGTCCCTTTACCAAGAAGTTAAGTGGAGATTCTGTAGAAAAAACAGCAAATCAGAATACAGCCGCAAACGCTATCTACAGAATGCAGCTCCTTCATGTCATGGGATGGTGTTAAGACCAAGACCGCCAAAGAAAACTTTACCAACTGCGCATAGACCTGCCAAAAAAACTATGAAGAATGAGTTGGAGCTTGACCAACAATGCGACTCTACTTTAATGAGTGAGCCGAACATTCATGATCCTACCACAAACAGCGACAAGGAGATGAAAAAAACACAAATAATACAAAATATAAATCCTAGCTCATTGATGTCTTTAGTTCAACTAAGTGAAACCGTTGTAGATAATGATAGAGGAATTGAGAGGGTAAACTCACAAAATTGTAGCGAGAAAAACAAAAAAGGAGCACAGTCTTTAGACGAAGAGAAATCACAACATCATGGCTCAGCAAAACAAAGCGTAATTCAGAATGATACACAACATTTGTTAAGTGACAGCTCTGCCACAGGTATACCTCATCCCAAAACTACGAATACCGCTGCAATTGATCAAACATTGTGTTGGGATGATTTTTCAGATCAGAC